AATCTAGTATCAAATTCTAAATTTACTTAAAAATGTTTCAATTTTATAAAGGAAACAAAAGAGGGTTCAGTTAAAATAAGTATTTGTATATGTTATAATATTAATAATTCTTAGTTATTATTATTATTATATAAGTATATTATAAAAGGACATTTAACATTTAATACGTACATGAAAACATAAATCATTTCTTAATAAAAATAACGAGGAGTATAAAAGTTGAAAGGAACGTTTGAAATTATTTCACAATAATTAGTAAAAGGAGCCTCGGTCGGGTGGTAGGGATGGGACGGGGCGAGTATCGATGGATTACACTAACGAACTATCGATGTCGATAAAAAAAAACAGGAAAATAATATCGACAATTCAATGTGGAAAATAATTTAATATTATTGTTAAAGAATATATATCTTTAAGCTCAGTTTTTTTTAATGGAAACTAAATTTTGTCTCAATCTTATTATCTATCAATTTAAATGAAACTATACAATTTTTTACGAGAATAATATCCCTTAGTATATCAGAAAAATATTAGTTTGATTTAAATGACTCGCGATAATCTCATATTTCATTATGATAGCAATTTATTTTGTTTTCAAATATTATTTATCGTTGTACAAGCCTCACCCCTACTAAGGTTTTATTGCCTACCTTTATAGCCATCCGTGTGACGAATGACGCTGTACCTACAGTTTAGAGTACAAACTGTTATGTAGACAGTTACAGGTATAGCTATGGTTCATACGACCCACTCATTACAAACATAATTGAAAATATACCAATATACAAATGGCGGACATCGTGAATATTTTACGTTTATTAATAAACTAATATGTACGTTTTATTATTTTGATCGTATTCTCATGTCGTTTATGTGTTTGAAATTGTGACAGAACTTTATATGTATGTATGTATATGTTTAAAGAAAACTATTTTAAGTTGACCATAATTTACGTTATTATTATTTTAAGTAAAATGATGATTTATTTAATAAGTCTAAGTAAAGTTTATTAAATAAAAAACATCGTTTATTCCAACGTATATGTATATTATTGCAAATAAATCAAAAATTATTCCTCAAACGAGAACCGAAATCGGATCTTAACTAGTGTAATTTATTTAAAGAGAAAATTGGCGAATTATGAACAGCGCCATCTATGATCGCAATCCGACGAATGTCAATAGCAAAATTGAAACGTTCAGGAATCAACGTTAATTTATTTCTTAGAAGTTAAATGTAAAAACCGTCCAAAAACTGACCAATGGCCGGCGAGTTACACAAAAACTTTGTAATTAAGAATTCAACAAACAAAATGGAAGATTTGAAACGCACACGAGCTGAAGGGACGCCAATTATGAGAAATGATTTACAAGAAATACATTATTATTTAAATATGTCGCCGAAATAATACTGTCTTTAACCGAAACATTGTTTATGAGTATAAAATATTTATTATAGAAAAAACTGTAGTGTAAATTAAATAGTATAAATTTGAGAAATCGTTCAAATTTATTAATTTGAACGTACATATTTAAAACTACGCCACTATAAGTCAGTTTAAAAATGTTTTTAATGACATATGAAGATAATTAAACATATTTAAATATACTCATCCCCTTTTTAAACAATTCCATCTATATAACATTTAATAATATTTGCATACATATTGTTTTACCTTAAAACACATAATATATCAATAATCATTAATAATAGTTGGTAAAGTCCGCATGTATCGTGTGGGACATGTTTTATCATAATATTCGCGAGCTTGTTTTTTGCTGTCCCTGACTTGTTGCTTCCTAAACGATTGTGACAGTAGCTGGTACTAACTGGCAGCATTTTGATTTAATTCGACCGTTCCTTGTGACAATTCTCTCTAGCCACACTTTATATATACGACACGACACATTATATATATATATATATATATATATATATATATATGTATATGAAAAAATTACCTTAAAAGTCATTAATATAGAAAATATTTCAGCTCAATATGTATATATATATAAAAATATAGTCGGGGATAGTGCCTCCTCGTAACTAGCATTGGATAATTCCGAGTATCTACATTGGAAGCAGATCATTACAAGAAAGTTTAAGCTGAAATATTTTCTATATTAACGACTTTTAAGGTAATTTTTTTCACAATTAGTAATACTAAATAATTAGACGATATTTGTATTTTGCATTAAAATTAACTTGTTTTTATTATTTTCAAATATAAATCGATATAGAATAGAATATGTGATGTTTGGAATTACGTTGAAATTAATAGTTTTCGTTTCCTGAATGTTAGTGATTTTGAAATATTAGTCAAAATGTGTTTTTAATGTTCTTACCAATACAAACATTGGGATGATAGTGTTTATAATGAGAACACAAGATATCCAACTATAGACTTCAATTTTAATCCTAGTATTCGAGGATAAGAATACAGGTATCATAAGGTCAGCCCCACTCCGCGCCAGGTGTAATGAAACTTGCGATAGAAGGATATTAGTAATAAAAGTTTTACCTAAAATAAAGACATAACCTACGTGCGTATTAAAAAACTTCCAAACAAATTATTTCTTTATAAGTTAATATAAAACAAATCTTTCAACTCTTTACAAATAAAGTATTATCACAACTAATTTAAATATAAATAAACAAATTATTCTCGTTAAGTTTATTATAGCCGATATGTCGTACGATATCTATCCGACAGGTCGTGAGATGTAAGTGTCCCGTGTTTTTGTATCGTGTACATAAACGGCAATCAAATTATTTTTATTAGTATTTTTATATCTTTATGTAATCTGCATTTATTTAACATGTTTTTATAATCTCCCATTCACTTCTATAATTAATAACCAATACTATAACCAATATGTTAATTGTCGTCGTTTATTTAATTTGAAGTTTACTTAGTAATTAGTATGCATAATTTTTGTTGTTTTTTATCAGGTGGGACATAAAATTATCATTTAAGCCAGTAATATATTGCGTAGATAAAAATACGTATCATTACTTTATTTATGCGCCATTAATCACTTTTGTTTTATTATTTTATCATATTTTTTTGTAATTCTGTATTTCAATATACATATTTTCTAAAACTTTGATGTGATAGTTTTGTCAAATGTGTACTGACAGATACTTACCGTGATAGTAGTTCGTTTGTCTGACGGAAGATGGCGCTGAAATTAATTTTACCTTCTATAGAAAAAATCTAATATTAATAATTATTGTTTATCTATTCCAATATTGGAAAAAAGCAAAAATCCTTATCTACGGACTATTTAAATGTTTAAATTTCAGTTACATACTTTTATGTATGATGTATACAATAAATACTATTTTCCTTTCTCTTTCTTTATTTTCTTTTATTATTTATTCAAATTGGATATTAAACGTTAGTAATTAATAAGAACCCTTTTTTATAAAAACTGCATATATATTTAATAACATTTCTTTGTTAATGCTCTAAGTTCTATATTGCCAAGCAACGCCATCTAGTGACTTATTAGGTAACTACAACATTTGACTATTATTTCTTAGAAACTGTCCTTCAATATCACTATTCACTCTAGTATTTAAAATTGCTAAACCCATTAACATATACGAAAACTATATATTTACTTCCTTATCCACGTGTAACACGGTCGAAATTACTTTCAAGATAGACTGGTCTCTTATTTAACACGTACTGGGTTTTTAGAAGTCATGACTAATATATTACGAAAAAGGGACTATTTGTAAACAACGATTATAGATGAGAGTAATTGTGACGCAATATTATAAATTTTTAGTTCAATACTAGCTGACCTGGCGAACTTCGTATCGCCCTATAATCAAGAAATAACTATTACGTTTTTTTATTTATATTTTTGGAGTTTACCTGTAAGCCATAAATCTCCGTGTTCTGAAGTGTGACAAAATGATTGACATATTAGTTAGTTGTCAAATCTAATGTCAAAAAAACCGTTTGTATGGGAAATAGAAAAGGGCTGTTTTTATGGTTTTCCCAGTAATGAATCAATTTTTTTCAGCTTTTATACCTTCCCTGAACCTCCACGAACATTTCAAGACTAAGATAAGATAAATCCGTTCAGTCGTTCTCGAGTGTTAGTGAGACTAAGGAACAGCAATTCATTTTTAATATATAGAAGAAGATAGAAGAAGATAGATTTTGTCCCTAGTTGTCGTTTACCACAAATCTTTATACACATTTTAAGATTAAATTTACTTTTACTTCATTGGGACTCATTTTAAAGGTAAATTTTTATTAAAATTGTTATATATACCCGCTATGAGTTATTACTCTTTATATAAAAATAATTTTCTGTATAATTTTAAGTGAACCTTCTCTATGTGGTAACCTTTCTATTTAGTTAAAAAATAATAGTTACAAATACTTTTTATATTTTATTTGAACCCGGCTTACAAAATGTTGTATATTACATTATAGAACACAATATTTATAACTATATTAAAAGATTTACATGAACCTCTAATGTGAAATGATTTTATACATAAAATACAATTTATAAACTAACCAACAAAATATATCTCTGAATACATAACAAAAGATTTAAATATATATACACTATGTTAATGAAACAAAAGCTACAAATTTAAGCTATATATTTATACATATTATATACTAAGCTATTTACTTCTCTCCAGTTTAACAGGCACTTAGCATCCTCGTGATAAAAGATATTTAAAAAAAATCGCCATTTTTAATTAATTCTTAGTTTTTTATACAATTATTCATCATTTACCTCATCCATGAAAATTTTATTTTAAGACTCATTTTCCTATCGTTTAGAATTATTGACAAAATTAAGTGTGGTTGGTGATTAAGGAAAAATAATTAAATTTTGTGTGTGCAATTTTTTTTTGGCGATTTAGGTAATTTTATTATATGTTATTATATAATATAAATTCGTACATGTTCTGTCTCCACAAGTCAATACTTCATCGTCTCATATTATTTTTAATATGAGCCGTCAAGTATCAAGTATTGTCAAATTATTTATTGGACATTTTGTTTCGATGTTGTCAACTATTACTTTTCCTTTAATTCCATCACAATCACTATGTATTGATTCATCATTCTCATCATCATTCATCACCTTGCTTGATGTTTTTATTTTAATTGAATTCTCATCATTCTGTTTAACGAGCTTCTCCGCTTCCTTTTTCTCATCTTCTTTATTCTTCTCCATTAATTCCCTTCTTCTCTCAGCGTTCCACCAGGGCATGAATCGTTGGAAGACTATCCTTGATCGGTGCTGTGGCTTCAAGACCCAGGATATAGCCATTTCTACATCTGCTATTCTGTAAAATAAATAATTAATTTTAAATATATGTAACTTATAATGAGATCTAAGATATTCTCAAGTATTCATTTAAATGAAACTAATATTCCTCGGATAATACTACGCGACTTTATTTTTGACTAGCTTTCCGCCCGCAGCTTCGCCCGCGTCAAGTTCGGTTATATCGCGTTTCCAAGAGAACCTTTCAAAAGTCTGGGATAAAAACTATCCTATGTTCTTTCTGAAGATCAACTCCATCTCTGTACCAAATTTCATTAAAATCAGTTCAGTGGTTTAGGCGTGAAAGCGTAACAGACAGACAGAGTTACTTCCGCATTTATAATATTAGTAGGGATTATGAACTACATACTCTAGACGTTTCGGTTACTTTCAGATTCCATGATTTCAAAATTATTTTAATAACAACACAATATTAATTTTAATGAACATTTTTTCCTATAAATACCATGATAATGTACTTTTTATCTAAAATCATTCTAGATAATTATTTATTATTAATCTTATTATGATAAATTTATTGATTTGGAGAAATTAAACAGACTCAGTAATTCTATTATCTACATATATAATGGTATGATTAATTTTAAAACTAGTTTTTCTACCGGTTCTGCTTATAAAAAAATATTATATAGCATATTTCTGTCATATATGATTTCTTTTACATATGTAAAGTTTAAGATGAAATTTCTGATTCTTTAATCAAATTTATTTAATTTCAATATAGTTGAGATTTGCTTATATTTTTTATGTTCATGTTTATGAAATTCTTTCTCAAATTATATTAAAAACCATGTGTAATTTTGTATTTGTATTTTACCAAAAATTCTATTTGAATGTAATTTACATACAAAAGTGTAACTAATATCATTTGCGACGAAAATTAAATACAAACAATTATTGAAAGCATTATTCATACTCAAAGAGAACATATATGTATAATGAATAATTCATGAACAGGAGTAGGAATCGAACCTAATACCTTCGGAGTATTACATTACAGCCAGTACACAAACTGAGCTGTCGTGACTCATACTAATATTATAATTGCAAAAGTTTGTGAGTTTGTATGTTTGTTACTTCTTCACGCTCAAACGGCTGAAGCGATTTCGATAAAATTTTGTATATAGGAAGCTGACGTCCAGGAATAGCACAAAGGGTACTTTACATCCCGGAACACCTTCTTCTTCATACTTCTGTTAATCAGCTTACCTTCTCTTAAATCTCTCTCTGTCCAAGGCGTGCCTCTCCCAGTTGCCGGCGCGGGCCTGCCGGGCTGCGAAGGCCCAGACCCTCATTACGTGGACCTTTGGAGGCTGCGATGAGAAACGAACCTGAAGATGAGAATAGTAGAATAGTTATATGATGTAAAGTTTAGTTTTTCTCATAAAGAACAATGTTCTCTTGAATGATATAAATTACATAGTTCAATTCAAACAACAATTCAGTACAGTATCAACGACCCATATAACTCAAGAGCGGTTAATCCAAGTGCTCCCTACAATAACACAATAGTTTCCTTCTAAAAATTGCAAACGTTTTTTCATCAAAACCTAATATTTGAAGAGTAAGAGCTTATCTTGGTTTAATTTAATTTGTTGTTATGTAGTTTTGTGGGTTAAATTTCATGATTTTCTTATAATTTTTCAATTTAATTTGGATTTGAGCAGGTTTAGAGAGACAGAGGTGATCAAGTTACTCATGATCACCAGAATATAGAATACATATTGTATTGTAATATTGAATTTAATATTAACAGAACGTAGACTGATCAAAACAGATGAAAATGCATTAAAGTATTTATAAATCTATGATTATTGATAATTTTTACATTACATGTGACAATACACTAACTTTATTGAAACAAAAAAAACAGTTGGTATGAGTGAAGTAGTTAATCAAGTGATCATATGTCAAAGATGCCTTCCATCATCATCTAAGAGCTGGTCCTCTCACACTGCTGGACTGATATTAAACACACGTACATAAGAACCAGCGCGAGGGAACTGACTATCAAATGGAAAAGTTACATCGAAATCGGTTGAGCCGTTTGAGAGTTAAGATGACACATACAGACATAGACGACAAATTTAACACTCTTATTGAGTAGGGTGTTAGGAAAAAACTGAGCAAATATTTCTTTTGTGTTAATTTTAAAATATTCACAGAATCTATGAGTTTCTTTTACTCCCTGTGTGTATACATGCAAATATATCGAGTACAAAGATTACGATGATGAGTGATCACTTATCATCACACGAACTCATCGGAATAGCATCCAAGGAATATGGACCTAGCCACATAAACAATGACCTCTTATTTTGATGTCGGTCAAATATAAAACATGTACTCATCATGCATCAGAAATCAACACACACACAAAAACAGCCCGTGACTCACACGGCCGTCGGACACGTCACGCTGATGACGTCATTATCGTGACGTCATCAGCGTGACGTCGCCGAAGGCCGTGTTAAGGTGGAGCAATGGCCTCGGAACAAACGGTTTCATCATGATATTATTTACAATGAATCATTGTCATCTTTTAAGTAATGACCATTGTCTTTACTTCCTTCAATATAGGATTATAGGATTTGATAGTTATTCAAACAGTTGTTAGTGAATTTAACGGTTTTTTCCATCAATGCATTCCAGGAATTGGAATCCAATTTCCATCAAAAAAATTATCGTAATGAGTAACAACAAAACTATTGTGATGTAACAAAACTGTAGTACGTAGTTAGAATAATAAAATACGTGTAGTAATCCAAAAATATTAGTTTCATTTAAACTATTCCGTCTTTTTTACCGATTGCGTCCTAAACGATGTATGAAGCAAGTGATTGATACATACATACACTGTCAATCACGTAGAGTTATGAAAATTACGAAAATATTGTGTAAATTCATATCTAATGCAATGAATTTCTTTATTGGAGTAAAAAGTGTTTTTTTCCGCATTTTTATTATACATACGTAATAAATATTACACACACACTTCCCTACTAATATTATAAATGAGACAGTAACTCTGTCTGTTACGCTTTCACGCCTAAACCACTGAACTGATTTTAATGAAATTTGGTACAGGGATGGAGTAGATCTTGGGAAAGAACATAGGATAGTTTTTATCCTAGACTTTTGAATGGTTCTCTTGGAAACGCGATATAACCGAACTCGATGCAGGCGAAGCTACGGGCGGACAGCTAGTATATATATATCATTAATTTCAATTTAATTAACGACTTTCGTCATCCGCTAAGCAGTATTTTATTAGTCGAGTCATTTTATATATTTGATTGACACAGCAAACGTTATGCCATATAAAAATATAGGGGTTGGTGATAAAAAAGTAAAAGTTTAGGTTTGTATGTATTTCTTAATGCTATATTATAAAAAAATAATAACAATAAATTTCATCCTAAAAAATTTTTTAGAGTGAACAAGTCTCATCACTTAGGTGTATGAAAAATAGATAGTAGCCGATTCTCAGACCTACTGAATCCCTACTAATACATACATATTATAAATATGATTTGAATGATTTATATATACTAGTTTTTGTCCGCGACTTCGTCCGCGTTTATTTCGATCAAACAGAATTAAATATCCTATGTCCGTCTCCTGGTTCTAATCTATCTCACCACCAATGTTCAACCATATCTGTACAGTCGTTCTTGAGTTATAAATAGTGTAACTAACACGACTTTCTATGTATATAGATAATTGCATGAAGAACAGTACTTCTAAGTCAATTGTAATGGATAAAGAAGAATATTGGAGCATACTCCGAGGACCTTCATCATCAATTTCTGTAGCAGCATGAGGTGAAGCCAATATTATGCAACAATGAAAAATCCTTATCACGTAACGTGGAGGCCGCGACCTTGGTTATCAACACTAATTGCACACTAGAATTGAATACTTAAGCGGCGAGGTCTTTGAAACCAAAATATATTATAACTAGCCTTCCGAACGCGACTTCGCCCGCGTGGAGTTCGGTTATATCGCGTTTCCAAGATAACCTTTCTAAAGTCTGGCATAAAAACTATCCTATGTTCTTTCTCAAGGTCAACTCTATCTCTGTACCAAATTTCATTAAAATCAGTTCAGTTGATTAGGCGTGAAAGCATAACAGACAAACAAACAGAGTTACTTACGCATTTATAATATTAGTAGGGATTATTATTCTATAATATTAATAAAATATAGGAAATACTAGCTGTGACCGCGATTTCGTACTTATTCTTTATTTGTCATAGAAACCTATACTTTTCCTTTATTAAATAATTTTTTTGACTTTTAGTAGGATAATATTAAGATAATCTAAAAAGTGTTGCAAATGAACCGCCATTATCACTTATAAGTATTCTAAGATAAATATTTTTGATAGAAGGATATTAGATCAAACATCTCTATCTACATACATATAATATATGTATAAAATTTTCTATAAATCATTCAATTTTAGTGACCAGATTGCAAATACATGAATGGGATTACTCTCCTTCTTCTACCTGGCAATTTCCCAGCTTTACCCAGAGCCTGCCTTACATGTTGCGAATAGTATTGGCTAATTGTTTTTACGACCGGCCTGCCTGACATCAACTATCTTTGGGAAAGAATGTGATTACTAATATATTAAAAATATTTATATACATATATGTGCCTATATGTCTTCTTGAATATGTCGGTCAAATCAAATAATCAAACATTTCTTTCTTATACAGTTGGCTGTAAATCGTTTAAAATAACATGAAATTCTGTCCAGTAAATAAATATAACAAGAATCTAATTAAAATATACTCTCAAATTAATATAAAAAACTTTATATTTACTATATGAATGCTATTGTTAAGGAACAATTAAATCTTAGGAATGTTAGTTGGAGTCACAAAACATAATTTATATACATAAGTCATGATGACTAAATGAATTCATCTATTGTAATAATTCCATTTTTTCTCATTCCATCAGTTCAGAAAGTCAATCGGACAAAGTCGGGAGCAACAAGCTATATATCTATAAATATTAATGTATATATAACTCCAATAAATATATAATATGAACTTAACAAAAATATTACAACCAAGATAAGACACATATAATATGTATGTGCAATTTCTTTTATTATTTTTCTAGATATTTTAAGAATTATAGTGTTTTTCAATAAACATCTATATTGACATATACTAGTTTTTTACTATGGCTTTCAAAAAGGACACATAAATATGTATATGTATATAGTAGATGATGTGGTAAATGTTGTTTTGCAACATAAAAAAATAGGTTGATGATAAAAAAGGAAAAATTTGGGTTGTATGTATTTTTTAACACTACATTTTAAACAAATGAAAACCAAAAATTCGTCCGAAAAATAATAATAATTTAAGGTGGACAACCCTTATGACTTAGAACTATACTACTCAATATGCTCACAAAATTTCACCAAAATCGGTCAAGCCGTTTCGGAGGAGTTCTCTGTCTACCACCGCGACACGAGAATTTTATATATAAGATATATAGAAATTACAATGGATTCCCTCGCACGTTGGAATAAAGGCGAATGAGAGGGCTGATAGCTTAGCAAAACAAGCTTTACTTGTAGGGACCTCAACAAATCTAAGACCGGATTATACCGATACCTTAGTCAAATACAAACTTGAAGGTCTAAAAAGCTTTAAAGAGTATTTTGACGAAAGGTCGAGGAGTAAGGGAATATGGTATAAGACCATACAGAGTGAGCCCCCTCGTATTCCATGGTTTGATGACTCAGGGTTAACTCGGCAACAAGTTGTTATGGCTCTCAGACTGCGTTCCGGACACATTCCTTCAAATAATTTTGGATATCTAATGAAGAAGTTAAACTCTCTGAATTGCGATATATGCGGGATTCAGGATGACGTACATCATTTTCTGGTGGAATGTGTTCGGAATGCGGCCAAAAGAAGAGAGCTAATAGATAGATTTAGTATTAATTTAATGGATTTAGGAATTTTCCAAAGTATGTTATCGATTCCAAAATCAGAGACAGCCAAAATTATTTATGGGTTTAAATTAAAATAAGGCATAGTTTATAAGTTTTAGAATTATTTAAGATACTTTAAAGTTTATATTTATTGTTGGTGGTGGGATTTTTATTAAGGGAACGATGGGACTGACATTTAGCTTTGCTGCTAAAAAGTCCCAAAATAAAATCAGAAAATAAATAAATAAATAAATAAATAAATAAATAAATTAAAGCAAGTAATTTAAGTCTTTATCAAGTATTTCAACAAACACACATAAAAAGTATATATATATCAACCACAAAGTAATTTCCTGATATTTTCTATGACATTGAGAAACCAGTTGTTTTATATAAATATATATGTATATACGATAATATATCTTATTCCACACTACATAGACACTATATTTAAATGTAAAGAATTATTATTATTCTGTACCGCATACCTGCTTTATAACTTGTTACAAATAACTGAATATAGTAGGTTTTTGATTGACCAATAAGGTATATAATATATTATACTAGCTTTCTGCCCGCAGCTTCGCCCGCGTGGAGTTCGGTTATATCGCGTTTCCAAGAGAACCTTTCACAAGTCTGGGATAAAATCTACCCTATGTTCTTTCTCAAGGTCAACTCTATGTCTGTAGCAAAATTTCATTAAAATCAGTTCAGTGGTTTAGGCGTGAAAGCGTAACAGACAGACAGACAGAGTTACTTTCACATTTATAATATTAGTAGAGATGTATGTGTGTGTTTGTGTGTGTGTATATATCTTTAGGGTTTTAACAAGAAATGTAATAATAAACAATTTATTTCACAACCTCTTGACCTTAAGATTGTAAGAGCAATATTTAGGTCTGTTGCATGAGACAAGTATATATATATATATATATATATATATATATATATATATGAAAATATTGGTTATAAATGTGTTATATATATACAAACAGACCCTGGCTATAGCTGGGAAATTGCCAGGTAGAAGAAAATATGTCATATATGAGCAGAAAGATAATGAGAAATTTATCAATATTAATAAAAGTTATATATATATGTTATTATGATAGAAAAGATAAGATTTAAATAATTATCACTATGTGTCGTGATAAACATTGAGGTATACTATCAAATATTTTGTGGTTTCAGAGTTTTTTTGTTTAAAAACCAATAAACTGATATCAAATGAAAATTAAATGTTATGTATACATATATACATACATGTCATTATTGAAAATTATTGTTTGTCCGTTTGTTGTGAATGATCTTTGTAACGGCTGGCCCAATTTTGATGATACTTTGATTGGTTAATAAGTCATGTTATACGAAGTGATTTGAGTTTTATTTATTAATATACATCATAAGTAAATGACTATTAAATGTAGATTAAGTTTGATGCAATGGCAAAATTGACTTTAAAATTTAATTATTTTAGGAAATAATGTAGTCTTACCCTTTTTTTAGGCTGCTGTAGCTTCTCCTGTTTCCGTTTCTCATCTATCAGAAGTCCCGTGAATGGCTGGTGGATATTGTCTTCATCATCACACTTAACGGCAAAGTCGACCACATCCTCGCTGTACAGGCTACTATCCGTTAGGTCACTGAATGTCTTCGATAGGTTCGGTGATAACTGAGCTATGCACATCGATTCTTCAACCACTGAATCCGAGTCCGAGCTATCATCACCAAAAACATCGTTATTAGTGTAACAGTTTTCCGGTGTATCCTCAAAAACGATGAACGAGTCCTCGGATTCACAATCCGATGGAATGCGACGTCTCTCAAAATTCTGTGGGCTGTCCGTGAACACGATTTGGAAGGAATCCTCGCTTTCAACCGATGAACAGAATTTACCGGAGACTTCATTGAAGCTATCGGTCAAATTAGACGAGGCTATTTCGTTTGCAAATATAGTATCTTGTACTGTTTCTGGTTCTTTACTTGGAATATCGACCGGTTTTGTCTTATCATGACTCGGTAGTGATGATTCATAGCTTTTGTTTTGTCTGCATTTAAGTAAAGCTTTTAATTTAGACATTTTATCCTCACATGCCGATACTGTGTCTCTTGTTTTTCCTATTAACTCCAGTCCGTCTGTCTGTATATGCTTCTCGACCTCCATACTCTCATTTAATTCAGTCTTACTGTATGCTCGTGTGTTTCCGACGTCCACACATATGTTAAATATCTCAGTCTTTACTCCCTGTGCCGCTGTCTCACACAGTTCGGGTTCTTGGTAAGTGCTTGGACAGAAATATTCTATACTACTCTCATTGAAAAGGCTTATATCAATATCTTGTGAATTATTAGGAATAAATGACTCTTTTGCTACCGAAGGCTGGAACTCTGATAAGAGATTGGTGCACTTATTTTTATTAGCAGAGATGTCAGGGAGTAATCTACAGACTTCTATGTCCATATTTGTATTATTATCCCGTTCATTTTTATTTTGAACCTCGCATTTGGGGTATTGCCAGTTCCGTGACGCCATCTGGTGGTCGTGATCAGTCTCGTGGTGTTTGGATGTAGTGGGACGCGTTTGGGACAGACCCATGAAGTTTAATATCCCTGTTAGAAGTCCCGTGATGCCTGAATAGTAATCATTCTGAGGCATTTTCGGTTCCTTTGTCATCGTTACCTTTGTTTTTCCCATGTTTGTTTTATCTTCGCCTGTTAACACAGTATTGGCGAGGTTCTTTTTCAAAGGATCTTGTATAAGATGCAAATTATTCGCAAAGAATTTTTCTTCGAACGTATTCTTCATCTCTGTTTTCGTTTGGACGCTCGTCGAATAATTCGATATTGGATATTGAAATGTAGGTAACACGCCAAAATCTAAGAAACGGCGCCTACTTCGCTCACCACTGAAATTATTCATTTTAACAATTTTTCACTAACTTTTAATGTTCGAAGAGGATGCTAAGCCATTATAGTTCACGCGCACATTATAATTCGATACTTTAGATCTCTTGTACTGTTCTTGAAGGCTGTTTTATTACACTTAAAAGATTTCAAATTCTCTATTCGGGAAATAGAGGGACCCGAGTCGTAGGATATCAATTTAATAGTTTCACAAACTGTATCACCACTGTTAAATATATTTCTAACTTCTGAATAACACGAGGGAATGATTTCTTGAGAAAAAATGTTGTTTATTGACTCCATTGTAACGATAATGAAACATACACGTCTTTATAGTTCAGCCATTTTGTGTAAATAAAGTAATTACTCGTTCATCATTACTATAAAAATAGAATGTCTGTAGTAATGCAGACTATCTAAAAAATACAGATTAAATATACTATCGTCACATCGAGTAATCGAGAACTAATCGATTCCTTTAAATCCTTTAGAGTTTAGAACTAACATAAACAAAATTAAATTAAAGATAATTTTCTTCATAATATAAACAATTTTGCTATTAAATATTTCTATAATTACTTATTTGTTATCATATTAATATTTGGATAGTCCTAAGTGTCATTATTTAATGAATTTGTTTTGATCGATTAATCGTTTTAAAGTTTTTCATAACAAAGGACATTTTCATGTATATTTTGTACACATAAATATAAGTTATATCTCTGTTTTTACGCTACATCTTTATACATGTAAAAATATTTACCCAATTTTGGTGATTTCTTATTTTGCAAGGAGACAAAAAATTATATTAAAAGTAATAGTACATAGCGAAATATGCTTTTAGTTCCTTTATTTATTTTATAAAACATCATAATCCACAAATAAATATTGTATTTTATTTATCAATGCAAAAGAGTTGGGTAGCTTAGTGTGCAGTACAAAAACATTGGCCAATTGTAAATCTGCTGTGAAAACATATTTCGAGCAATTCTTTTTGACACATAAAATACCGATGGCTCCGGTTAACGAAATGTGGATGTAAAAATTGTAAAATAAATGTAAAAAAAATAATAAATAAAAATTTAAAAATAAAAAAATTGTATAAAAAATACTTTTAAATCGTAAGTATACATAATCTAAATATATTGCGGTATTTGAAAAAATCTATATAAGGCTTTTGATAATACCATTTTCATTAAATATTACAGAAAGTTAAAAAATATATATATTGGAAAATTAAAATGGCAGAACGGAAGAAGTAAGTACGATAACAATTTAAAATATATATTTTAAATAAAGATGATAAAGTTGAGTAAATTATACCTAATTAATTGTCAAAAAACATAAGCTATCGTTTATTTTCTCAGAAGAATTAATTTACTATATAGTTAGAAGATAAAAAATATACCTATGTGTGTGGTATGATTTAGGTAGAATATGGATATTATATTGTGAAAAAAACATTTCTTCTAAATGAAAAAAAAACCTATGTCTAATGAATAATGAGATTAATGAAATGTATTTTTTTTTTATTTTTTGTTATTTACGTCGAAAGTATTATTCTTTAAAGTCTTGTTCTTGTCACTTGTTTATGAAAGTAACTGAATTATTATAAAACTTAAAACCAACAATAGATCGCAGGCGGCCGGTGACGCACCAGATAAAAAAGATGGAAAGACTAAAGTTAAAGAGGACACGCCTCCCGAGCCGGAGGAAATACCGAAGACGGTCTCGCAAATAGCGCAAGAGTGAGTTTAAAGATTGTTTTGGCTTCAGAATAATATTTTTCTACCATTGTTAAAATGAGATGAAGTATTATTGAGGTGGTAGATCCTAGCTGTGGTCAGTTACTACACCTCGAACATGTGCTGGCTGTACTAGGGAAGTAACACCCTATCAAAGAAGATTAGCGTGAAGTTGTAAAGGCTGCGTTTCGTTCGATGAGTGAGAGAACCGGTTGCCCTGTTCCCACCTTTTCCTTTCCTTCCCCTTCCCAAATTTTCCTCTCTCTTTTCCCCAATCAAGGGTGGCGACACATTCGCAATATCTCATATGTTATGGATATCCATGGCCCCTTTATAATTAAAAAAATATATAAATAAAATTTAAAATCATCAAATTCTTGATTTCTTATTTATTTATGTCCAAAATGTTTAATTTTTCTTCATTTCTTTAGTTGTCAAAGTCATCGTGTCAAATATTGTATCTGACAGTGACATTTCAATGCATTCAGTGTATTTTTTTTCCAGGGAAGCGGAGTATAGATCTATGCTCCGTAAACAGAGGTTTAAGCGTCGTTGGCCAGAAGTCACCAAAGTTAAGATACACACTAGGCCCTGGTTCCCACCACCACCGCCGGAGAGAATGCCAAGAATAGTAAGTATTAGTGGGAAAAAGAAATGAGTAGAAAGTTGGGAGGAAATGAAAATCATTGCGGGATTAAGTAGCTATAACAATATTAACATAGTTTTATAACTTTTAATTGTCACTATCAAATTTTTGAGTCTATAATACATGTTTTTTGATTATATAAATTAAAATAAATATTTTGGAGAAGCGTAAATTCTCATCTCGTCTGCCTGTCAACACGGTTGTTGTAACCGAAACAAAGTTTTGGAAATAAACTTTGTCTTGCTTAAGCTAAATGAGATAGATGTAAGACTTTCGCGGGTATTCATTTAAATGAAACTAATATTTTTCGGATTACTACTCGTTTTTTATCATTCTCATTTCGTCTTAATGATCACGGTTGCTACAAAATAACCGAAGCGTCGGGAGTGTGTATGTTAGAAGAAGAATATATTATGTGGTTTGCTTACAAGATTGGGCAATATTACTTTTAGTTTTGTAAGTTACTTTTATAACTAATTAAAATGCGTAATTGAAATACTCATACGTACGAGTATTTGAATACGTACACACATTACGTACGTACATACTTACAATAAGTACAAGCAATGAAACTTGTACTTTAATTATCACTTAAAATGTAATTCCTAAGTCGTGTTTCGATTAATGGAGACCTCAAAATGTGTTGTAACATTAAATTTAATATAACCTTTACTAAGAAATAATAAGTATTAATATGAGGCGGGGTTATGATGATAAGCGCCAATCAAAATTGGAAACACCGCTTATATTTTTTTAAACGGACTTTAAAAAAAGGCGCGTCGAAGTCAGCAGTGTGTGAACATGTATTGCACAAACCAAGCCATTACATTCGCTTTGATAAACCACATATCCTCGCTCGTGAAGACAGATATAAACCAGGGAAATCCGTGAGGCTATTGAAGTTAAAAAGCAACCCAATTTCAATAGAAAAGATGGCTGGAACCTATGAAACACTTGGGATCCTCTTCTTAAAAATATAAAATCCCATGTCCGTGACCACACCGCAGGACCTCGAGACACCGTGAGCGCATTTTGCCGGCATCCAGAGCGGTACGATAGAAAATTAAGAAATCGATGGCGGTAGGAGATAAAATGACCAGACCGACTGACAGACACTCATCTCGTCTGACCGTGATCACGGTTGATGAAAAGTAACCGAAACGTCGGGAGTATGTAGTTAAAATAATAAAAAACGCGTAGTACTCCCAAAAATATTAGTTTCATTTAAAAAACTAATGTTACGATACGTTACAAGTAATTTATGTGTTTAAGAAAGAGCGTAAATAAAATATATGATGGAAATAGTTAATTGGTAATAAAAAGTTAATAACTACAACAGTTACAACATTTTCAGGAGATAGATCTACCAGAACTGGTGACTCGCAAGTGGGTTCCGCCCTACCTCAAGAAGAAGCACAAAAAACGAAAGTTGCCAAGAATACCACCCGAAGAAGTTACTCAGCCGCTCTACGAATACGCCAAGTTGAAGAAGGTGACACAAAATATAGCTTTCATTAGTAAACCCTGATTTTATCCCTACTTATAATATAAATACGAAAGTAACTCTGTCTGTCCGTCTGTCTGTTTGTTACGCTTTCACGCCTAAACCACTGAACTGATTTTAATGAAATTTGGTACAGAGATCGAGTTGACCTTGAGAAAGATCATAGGATAGTTTTTATCCCAGACTTTTGAAAGGTTTTCTTGGAAACGCGATATAACCGAACTCCACGCGGGCGGAAAGCTAGTAATATTCATAATTTTGACATTAGCAGTGAAGTTTTATAGCCAATAGACTATATTTCTCTAGGATTAGTCTTACTATATAGTTCTGCTTTCTAAGTAGTTGTTTGAGCAGAGCTAGGCACTAAATACAGACAGACATCTTGTTTTTCTTATATTGATATTTTTTATGTACCCATTTTCATTATCTTCCATAACTCAATAAGTAGATCATATTATGGACTTAAACTACAGACTTATATCTCGAACGTGCAATTCACTTAACATTTAAAGTTATTTGAGCTAATTTAGTGAATCAACTATCAAGTATCCTTAGTCACGGGGAATTTTTTTTTGCGATACTAACTAAATAAATAACGATTTTAACACGTACTCCAGAAAATCTTGAGAATATTGTTGATTTTTATCTTTATATTATCCTAGATCTGGCACAATTTTACTCAAGTGGACACGAACAAGATGATGCTGCAAGGCACCATCGGCTGTAATTCTAAGAAGTATTCATCCACAACTTGCGGTGAGAATTAATTTAACTTTGACTTATATTAAAACTATCTGATTTCTCAAACGTTGTTTTGCCATATAAAATAGGGGTTGGTGATAAAAAAGTTAAAATTTTGGGTTGTATGTATTTTTTAATGCTACATATAAAAAAAAAAACAAAAAATCTTTTCCAAAAAAATAATAATTAAGGTTGAACAATCCTTATGACTTAGGGGTATGAATAATAGATTTTGGCCGATTCTCAGACCTAGTCAATATGCTCACAAAATTTCATCAACATCGTTCCAGCCGTTTCGGAGGAGTTTGTCTAACATTGCGACACGAGAATTTTATATATACAGGGTGACTGGTGAATTACTATCAATATTTAAGGAGAATACTCGGTACATGATTCTCATTCGAATTATGTAAAAAAAATAGGTACTTAATTTTTGACCAAATTTCCGTATAAATAAGTAAAGTGTTGACACGTTCCAAGTGTTCAAGTGTGGACGCGTGCGGCGGCGTGCTGATACAACACTACGTCACGACACGCGTATGTGTGAGTGTGAGTGTATACCTAATCTGTAGGGTGTTCACACGATGCGTAATTAATTACATAACTTTTGGTTAACTTTACTTAGAAGTTTATTAATATTTATGTTATATTAATTTTTATATCGTCATATATGATCGTCAAATATCACGTCCTCAAATATCGATAGTAATTCACCAGTCACCCTGTATAAGACATCGTCTCGATACTAATTTTATTATTTGGTTAGGAGCCCAAACCGCGTGTATAGCGGTAGTATGTAGGGCCCTCTTGGAAGAAAAGACGCCCGCTGATCTTGTTCGTCGAGATGTTGACGATTTGATTGAATGCGGAGACAGCTATTACAGGCAGTGCATGCTAGCCCTTAAATGCTACAAAGGTAAGTAATTACTCTAATATTTTTGGAATCTTTCGAGCCCTGTTTAGATAGATTTTGGCAAAAAAAACAATTTTGCAAACTTTTCTTTGTTTATAGGAAAGCCACAGTTGCAATTAAATCAGCTGTTGACGTCTTTCTTCTTCGATGATAATAAATATACGGTCAAAATGGTGGAAACTGACCGCGGGCTGTTGGCCAAACATCCGGACAATATACAGGCTGAACCAGATTTAATGGCGTAAGAATAATTTAAAACTGTATTAAACTAAAAAGATATATCCCACTAGCTTTCCGCCCGCAGCTTCGCCCGCGTGGTGTTCGGTTTTATCGCGTTCCCAAGAGAACCTTTCAAAAGTCTGGGATAAAAACTATCCTATGTTCTTTCTCAAGGTCAACTCTATATCTGTACCAAATTTCATTAAAATCAGTTCAGTGGTTTGGTTCTTTTTACTCGAAATTTAAATAGTCCCAAAATTCCACAACATTTTTCATACATTTTAATGCCATAATATTCTTCGGATTATAAAAAAAACATACATCCACATCTCGTCTTAATGATCACGGTTGCTGTAAAGTAACCTAAACTTCTAGAATATGTAGTTTATTATCAAAAATAAAGACGAGCACTAATATTAGTTTCATTTAAATGTATAATAATCCCGAAAATCTTAGATCTCATTGTTTTTTTTTTTACACTTGAGGAAAACCTGATGAAAATGGAAGGATTTATTCGCTGTTTTTTGTAGTCTGATGGAAAAGCGGGTAGGTACATCATATATGATGATTCTGACGGCCGGTGACCGTCACTTCCTTATCTGGGGTTACCCCCCGGACCCTGAATCTGGCAGCCAGGTGAAGACTATATGCTACATCTTCGACCCCCACATGCTGAACGAAGTCGGGCAACCACATAAGTTGTAAGTAAAAGCTGGTAGAATTAATGTTTGTTTGAGAGACACTCTTTTTCTCGATCAGGGGTGTCCAAATTTGATGGGGACTAGGACCAATAAAAATACTAGTCATATTAACAATATTACTATTACAGTATTTGTTCGTTGATGTATTTAAACAAAGAGAATAAAGATTCTATGGGCCGCAATAATCAAAATCTCGGCAACGGTTTGCCACAGCCCTGCTCTATATAATATATATATATATATATATATTATATAGAGCAGGGCTAGTATATATATATATATATATACTGGTGAATTACTATCGATACTTGAGGACGTGATATTTGACGATCATATATGACAAAATAAAAATTAATATAACATAAATATTAATAAACTTCTTAGTAAAGTTAACCAAAAGTTATGTAATTAATTACGCATCGTGTAAACACCCTACAGATTAGGTATACACCCACACTCACACATACGAGTGCGGCGGCGTTGTGTTGTATCAGCACGACGCCGCACGCCTCCACACTTGGAACACTTGGAACGTGTACACACTTTATTTATTTATACGGAAATTTTGTCAAAAATTAAGTACCTATTTTTTTTACATAATTCGAATGAGAATCATGTACCGAGTTTTCTCCTTAAATATTGATAGTAATTCACCAGTCACCCTGTATATTCCTTTTTATATTTGACTTTTTACTTGCTATACATCCATATTACATTTAAATTATATGTATTCAATTTGTCATTTTCGGTTTACTACACTTTTTTTATTATTTATCTACCGCCATTTATTATAATTAACAAGGCCAACTGACAGATATCCACATCTCGTCTTAAAGATCATTGTTCGTGAAAAGTAACCGAAACGTCGGTAGTATGTAGTTTAAAATAATACGTATAGTATGTAATACGAATAATATTTGTTTCATTTAAATGAACTCGCGAAAGTTTTAGATCTTATTGTCTATTTTCGTATATATGTGGTATATGTCTAACAATTAGCATTTTTTTTTCATTTATTCCGAATTTAAAATAGATTTGGTGCGGGTGCATTTTTGAGATACGCGGGAGTGACGTCTTTTGTTCTCGATTTTCTTGCCAACTATGGAGATTTGGATGCTGCTAAACAAGGCACTCCTAAACCACGTCTTGCTCTGACTAACATTGAGGTACGATAATATTTGCTCATCATATGTACTGTTATCAGCCTATCAGAGCCCACTGCTGAGCAAAGGCCTCTTTCTCACATGGAGAAGGTTTGAGCATTAATCACCACACTTGCTCAAGACGGGTTGGTGATTTCAAACTTATAATTGTGAAACTATAAGTCCAGGTTTCCTCACGATGTTTTCCTTCACCGTATGTTAATGGTGTCTAAATACTCTCAGAAAGTACATATGACTCCGAAAAATCACATTGGTACTTGCCAGGTTTGAACCCATGCACTCGGAAACAAGAGGCGGACCCTTTAACCACTAGGCCACCACTGACCAATATGTACTGTCTTGTAGGTAATTAGGGTAAATAAATATTAGTATATGATATTCAAATAGTGGTTGTGGTGGCCTAGTGGTTTAAGTTCCGCCTCTCGTGTATGAGGGCGCGGGTTCGATCCTGGCAAGTACCAATGTGATTGTTCTGAGTCATATGTATTGAAGAGTATTTAGACATCACTGATAGATGAAGGAAATATCATGAGAAGACTTGACTTAAAATATTGCAATTATAAGTTTGAAATCACCAACCCGTCTTGTTATGTGAGAAAAGGCAGCTCAGCAGTGGGCTCTGATAGGATGATAATGATGATGAATATCTACTGTAAGGGACAAGAATATAAATTTACCAAAAAATCACTCTCACTATAAATTTTGTTGATCCATTTCAGTTATAACATAATTTTTTGAGTTCTATAGCTCTAAAATCGTATAAGTTAGCCTAAATATGTATGTAGGTTATTATTTCTGTATGTCATAAAATTGCAGGTCGTCCAAAAAGAACCTTTGATTCGTGAACCAACGTACGAGTTGGATTTGAAGGCGCTCAAAACACACTGCGACAGTGAGTGGCAGAGTCTACATACTAACGCACTCATAGAGAAGAAGATGAAGGAAGTACGTAGAAGATTTAACAATGCCTACTAATATTATAAATGCGAAAGTAACTGTCTGTCTGTCTGTTACGCTTTCACGCCTAAACCAATGAACTGATTTTGTTGAAATTTGGTGCATACATAGAGTTGACCTTGACAAAGAACATAGGATAGTTTTTATCCCAGACTTTTGAAAGGTTCTTTAGGAAACGCGATATGACCGAACTCCACGCGGCCGAAGCTGCGGCTGGAAAGCTAGTAAAGAATAAATATGAAATCAGTAAAATATAATGTAGTTATTTCGTTTAAAAACATATTTTCTTTTGTTTGGTGGAGTAAAGAAATCTTTATTAAACTCTGGACAGTCACAAACAGTCTAAATCCTTTATTTAAACGGTTTCAGTAATTTTTTATTCCATATTTTTTAGGGAAAATATCCTCAATGTTCTTTGAGCGCCGTCAGCTTAGCCACGTCCAGAGCTACGTCTAGGAAGAAAGTTCGAGACTTTTATCAGAAGATGCCCAAAGAGGTAAATATTGATCATTTATTAAGTAGAATATAATTATGGATAAGAAAAGTGTTTTTGCTTTTTACAGCCAAGATACTTAAATTCAGCGAGGGATACAAGAATATTTAGTTCTTCTTAAACTCACTTTTCCAAGTCCCATTACCTTTTATTATGTAGTTAGACAGATATATTAACATTCTGATACTTATGCAAAAACTGCCAAAGACTAAAAATCATATATCACATACATATTTTTGTAATAAATCCTACTAATATTATAATTGCGAAAGTTTGTGTGTGTGTATGTTTGTTACTTCTTCAAACTCAAACGGCTGAAGCGATTTTGTTAAAATGTTGTATACGGGAAGCTGATATCCAGGAATAACACATAGGCTACTTTATATCCCGGGTAACACCGCGGGGCAAAGTTAGTTGTATATAAAACTGTAATTATTGGACATCTGCTTGTATTATTTCCAGCCTCCTCCTCAACTGCCTCTCGCCCCGGAGCGAGCTCCTCCGCCGCTCACTCAAGATCAAATCATGCAGATGAGAGGAGAGAACTTCTTCCTCTACTGCCCAAGATCAGACGGACATTCATACGGAAGGTTTAACATAATACTTGTTTAAATGAAACTAATATTTTTCGGATATACATACTATGCGACTTTTTTTTCCGGCAACAACTGTTTTCAGTGCGTAGTATAATACGAAATATAATAGTTTCATTTAAATGATTACGAAAATCTTAGATCACACTAAGACTTGTTGTTGAAAGTATTCGAAAAGTGGCAAACAGTAGATTTTTCTGTGATATTGACTGATGCAGACAAAAATTTTATAGTGTTTGGGCATATTTTACAAAATTCTTCTTTGTAGCAATCATATTTATGTATTTTAGGGACTTCTATTAAAATATGTCCCATTTAATTCATTAAAGGCGTTGCGAAATTTCGAAATTCATGAGAAAAAAAAAATTAAACCCATAGGAGGCCTTGTCTATATATATATATAGAAATGAAAACACGTTATGATTTTTGAAAAATCGTTCGCCGGTCAATGGCCGACTTCTTAATATTCAAGACTAATTAGTTCTGAGCTTCTCTTAACAATAGTTAAGAACAAAAAGTGTCAGATTGTCAGTAATGGCGCTCCTTATATATATGGCTTGAGGGTTGCTAGTTTAATAATTATTTATCATTTAAATATACATATATATAATCTTCTTCTTTTTCCTGGCAATTTCCCAGCTATAGCCAGGGTCTGCCTTACATGTTGTGAATAGTTTTGGCTAATTGTTTTTTACTACCGGCCGCCTGCCTGACATCAACCCTCTTTGGGAATGCACTAATCAGTGATGTCTAAATACTCTTAAGTACATATGACTCGGAAAAATCACATTGGTTACCAGGATCGAACCCGCGCCCTCGTGTATGAGAGGCGGGCCTTTAACCACTAGAACACCACTGACTTATATATATGTATCACCAGAGATGACATGATACCTCGCCCCAAGTCTGAGATAGTTCTACACAGTGCTGTCGAAGTCGCTGACCAGAACTTCCACTCGCAGTACCAGCAGCTCGACGTTGGCAAGTGGCTGATGAGAGGAACAAGACACATGGCCAGCTATAGGTGAGCTATTGATATAACAAAGATATATAATACTTGGAGTTCAATATATATGGATGTCTATAGTTCTTTAATTTTGTGGTTGGTACTGAAAGAAAGACTAATCTACCAAAATTGCCAGGACAGTTTAATAAATTGATTACTCAAAACTATAGAATACTTTGAGCGAAGCAGATATGGTTTTCTAAATATTCTTTTAATTCCGATTATCGTAATCTGCCGAAGAAAAATACTCTTTTCGAAACTATATTATTTAGCTTATTTTTTTGAACATGCAAATAACATATAAGTGTGTGTCTAACTTAACTTCAGATAGGATGATAATCAGTACCCAATGAGAATGAAGATGAACTGGTACAAGATAATTTATATCAATGTAACATATTATCGAGAGCTAGGGTTTTTTTAGCAGTGTAACACATTCAGTATTTAATAGAAAAGCCTAATTAATTATACGATTTACTAAAATCTCGCTTCTTGAAGGACTATCCGGTAACTGGAACATCCTAAAACATTCTCGTTAATATCTAATTTGTTTACTAACATTAACAATAGAATATTCTAATAAACGTATAACAAACAGTTTGTCCACTCGTCACGAGATGGCGCCGCTCAATGTCGACAACATTACAATACAAATCGCGTGACAATATATATTAAAGTATAATAAAAAGTGAATCTTCTCCATGTGAGGAGAGGCATTTGCTCAGTACATAGTGGGCTGATGATGATGATGATGATGATTTTCCAGATACCAAACGTTCAAGACGTACACGGGTATAGCGTGTTGCGTGTCGGCGCTGGCGATGCTGCGTCGTCTGCGGGCGAGGGCCTGGAACGAGGATGTGGTGGATGAGACGCTGGATCTGGGATACAACCTGTACAGGGTGGGTCGAGATACAGTGGCGGCGTAAGGCGTGGGCGACGTGGGCCACCGCCTACGGCCTCGCGGTACAAGGGGCCTCGCGCCCCAAAAATTTTTAAAGCGAGAATTTAAAAAAAAATATCTTCTTCCTGGCAATTTCCCAGCTATAGCCAGGGTTTGCCTTACATGTTGTGAATAGTTTTGGCTATTTGTTTTTACGACCGGTCTGCCTGACATCAACCCTCTTTGGGAATCAGAATTAATTAAACCTATTTTGATAAGAATAGTGTTCAATGTTTTGAAAATATTTAGCGAATAAATAGATAGTGTTTAAGTATATTGATTGTCCCCGAAAACAGTGACGTTTTTTATTTGTTTTTATTTTCTTTGTGATTTGTAATACACCAGTAGGTACCTGTACTCGTCTATTTTACATAAAGTAACAAATATTTAATTGGTGACAATTACGTAACGCAGTAATTACTTGTCTATAAAATACGCTTTATAATATCTTTTGAAGGAAACCAAAGCTTTAAGTGTAAAAAACGCATCGACGTTTAAGTTTTTAAAACTAACTGGTAGTAAGAGCTTCAGGTTGCCATAGAATAGAGCCTCGCGAAATCTGTCTTGCCCACATCAAATTTAGGTCTTGCCCCGCCACTGTCGAGATATCGTACATGAACACAAAAAATACACCTACTTAAACATACACACATAAATTTACCAGTTTTTGTCCATTACTTAAAAAAAATGAAAAACGTATAGTAGAAGTCGCATCTTCAATTCTTGCTCTAAAAAATTATGGTTTAATTTTTATTTCATATATTTAATTGAATTCTAATCTCCATTCTTATATATTATTATATCAAGTTGTGTATGTATATAATTATTTTAGGAATCCTTACTGGAGAGAGGAGGTCCTATAAGAAGACTGGTTCTTGGTGAATTGAAGGAGAATTTTAGAATAAGGGATAAAGAATACAAGCGTAAGGTAATTTATCATTGAAATAAACATATCTAGATTTTCAGCCAGAGCTAGGCAGATGCTTTCCATTTTCTTTTAATAACAGAGGTAACTGGAAAAGAAATGAATTGTCTTTATATACATATATTCCATACAACCACTTTTAAAATGTTTTTTGTGACTATACAAGTCTTAATTTCAAGATCAAATTAATATTTTAGTTTTAAATAAACTTCCAACATTAACACGACTGTATCAAATATGATTGGACTTATATTAAAAGTCAAGTGTATGTCCAGGAACGTGGTATCGCTGTCTGGGGTAAACTGCTCTCCAGTAACCCAAAAGTTTTTGATCTCTGTCGAGGTCTGGAGAGCTTCTTCAAGGAGTCGGATGCAGGGGTGCTACAGGTATAGCCAAATTACCATCCAAAAATGTTGTCAACTGCTTCGTTCTTAGAAACTTCCATAAATATATTCCATTTACCAGATTCCAGGTGAACTGGAAACAGCTATATGGAATGAGGGAGGGAAGTATTACGTGTACCATCCCTGGCCGTGTGACAGATATGGATATAAGGTAGGATAGAAATGATAGAAGTGTTGGTTGGATTTCGTCGAATTTTGCAATAAATAGTATTTGTACGGTAACTGAGAAATAAGTACTTATTTATAATATAATAGATAATTATTTCCAATGTGCTGTTCTTTTCAGTTAGCCACATAAAACCATCTCGTAATAAAATTAGTTCTATTTAACATATAAAACCTCCAAAAGCATATTTCACATCAGCTTGGTTCATAGAAATCGTTCTTTCATCCAGGTGGGGCTACGTGAAGGTGGGAAGGCGACCGTTCTCTACTTTGATCGCGTGTCCCGTCTATGTGAACATTTCCTAGAGAGCGTAGCGGATCTCAAGAGGAAACCCTTCAGCATAGCTGATGTATACATTACGGAGACAGGCGACATGCCGGAACCTATCAATAAATTAAAACGTTTGTCTTATAGAAGTCTTTCTGGTAGAGTAGCACCAAATATAACCAATCACTAGGGTCAGAAGTCCATGAATATAGAAAAAAATATGAAAAACTGCATATTATATAGCATTTTCAGAATAATTTGCTATCAGTTCAATAGATTTTATCAAACAAGAGTATCAATAGCTACATTATCCTCTAACTACTTGATATAAATATTTAAGCATTAGTAAAAGACCCCAACATAAATATAGAAAAAAACTGCATATTACATAGCATTTTCAAAATAGTTTGCTTTTATTTTAATAGATTTTATTACGCAAAATCACTAATAGCTGAAGACCTATAACTTCTTGACCTACACTTAATTTTATTTATATACTAGAAGACCCGGCGAACTTCGTGTCGCCCTATAATCAAGAAATATCTGTTACGTTTTTTTAAGTGTTTTGAATGATTGACTGTTGACATATTAGTTAGTTGTCAAATCTAATGTCAAAAAAAGAAGTTTGTATCAACAACTACTAATAAATTAAAAAATAATTAAAAAAACATTATCCAGCGGACAAAATTGTGAACCTAAACAATTCCCAGATCCCCTTGAACACACACAAAAAATTTCATCAAAATCGGTCGAGGCGTTTGAGAGAAGTTCAGTGACATACACACTCACAGAAGAATTATATATATAAAGATATATATTTATTTTGTTCTTGGTCCTTAGCCGTGGCTCCAAACCGTTGGGTCATTCGTGGTCGTTTCCACGAAGCGGATGAACGGTTCCCGGAACATCACCGCGGGAAACAAGCGACACCCGCCTCGATTGCTGCTATAGCCATGGCGCATGTGGTGGAACCAAGCGCTTGGACAGCTGACGATATTGATGAGGTCTTGGATCAAAATCACTATTTCTTACCAAAAACTACACAAATACGAGAAATAATTTGTTCATTAGACTTAAATTGTACCTAAATAATGTAGCACCTGACAAAAATATTGGTTTTGTAATGATTATGCCGTGTACACATGCTTAGGAATATAATAATTTATTTTAGACTGTAACTCAAATGTAATCCGGGTTGTATTCTGTTTGTGTGCCTAAATAATTAAAAAAATATTTAATATCCTCGCTGTAGTAGTAAATATAGCAAGTCTGTCACGTCCGACGGCCCGTTTGTTAAAATTATCTTGCAAATATTCCTTGTATCTCATTTTAAGTGAATGTAAAATTGTTATGAAAAATAGTTCTTTATACCCTAATAAAATAATAATAAATAATTCTATTGACTATTTTCTCAATATAACAGACGTTAGTAAGAGGAGATATTCTATATGAGAATACCATGGAACATCTAGAACGTATGGGAATCAATTTGGAGACGCCTCAAGCTGAAGAGCCGGGTGAGGAAGAGGAACAAGTGGCGAGTGGTACACTGGCGGCCGCTGATGTCATGAACAAGTTTAGAATAACTGATTATGATTGTATTGAAACTGAGGTTATGGACAGTCCTTTGAGTGGTTAGTATATTTCACAAACTCAAACTCAAATAACTTTATTCAATATAGAAGCATTACACTTTCTTATTGATGGTTACTTGAGACACTACCAACAGCAATGATTATGGTGGTGACCTAGTGGTTAAGATCCGCCTTTCGTTTGAGGGCGCGGGTTCGATCTTGGCAACCAATGTGATTGTTCCGAGTCATATGTACTTAGAGTATTTAGACATTGATAGATGAAGGAAAATATGAGGAAACATGGAATTATCAAATTATAAGTTTGAAATCACCAACCCGTCTTGAGCAAGCGTGGTGATTAATGCTCAAACCTTCTCCATGTAAGAAGATGCCTTTGCTCAGCAGTGGGCTCTGATAGGACGATGTTGAACCAGCAATAATATTGTATTATGTTAGTTGTATTGATTCTTAATGTTTTCATTTTCCAGGTGAGCTGAACGCAGTCCCTGGCTCCGGGATCCTCTCCCTCAAGGATTCCATAAACCACATGTTCAAGGAGTATTCGCACGGAGTGTTGACAGCGCGCGGTGGTTCAGTGGGCATCTGGAAACACGATGACAGTTATTACTTCTTTGATCCTCACGGCTGCGATGAGAATGGTGAATAAATGATTTAAACAAGTTCATATAGAAAACAAAACTAGTTTAGGTTTAGGTTTAAAGAAGTTTATTTCAAAAAAGAACAGAGTTCGCTTACAAAGGAAATTTTAAAAACTATAACTACTATTAAGATTACAAATAATAAACAGTAGTGATATTAAACAAGATCAGCGAAATCATCTAATATATGGGTTCTTAATCGTTTTTTAAATATATTTAGAGATATTGAATTGACAACACTTAGAGGCAAAGAGTTATACAGCTGTGCTCCTTCAAATGAAATAGTTTTAATGCCGTACTTGGTTCGAGTTTTAGGTGTTTCTAGTTTATATCTGTTCCTTGTGTGGTAAGAATGGGTTCTGGTTTTAAAGGTAATTTGAGAATGAGTGAGGTTTGTTAATCTTTTTCGAATAAGTATACATAATTTATATTTATACATTTGTTTAATAGATAAAATTTTAGTTATTTTATATAAATCTATAGTAGATGTATAATAATCCATATGAAATAAGACCTTGATATGTTTATTTTGAGAGATCTGAAAATTTTTTATATGTGTTTTAGCCGCGTTGCCCCATATTTCTATAAGGTATTCTAATACTGGTTTTACTAAAGTATTGTAAATAATGTTTCGTACTCTTGGAGGAATACAACGTGCAGATTTACGTAAATCTCCAGTAAGTGAAGTTATTTTGGAATCTATGGTATCTATATGAGGTTTCCAAGTTAAAATTTTATCTAAAACTAGCTTTTGCCGCGACTCCGTCCGCGTGGAATAGTGACTTACGGCAGATTTTTTGGTTCTTCCCACATAGTTCCCGTTCTTGTGGAGTTTTCGGAATGGTCGAGTTCCCGTAGAATTTTCAGGATAAAACCTATGTTTTTTTTATTCACAATGAAGTACTCTTAACCAACAACATATTTATTTGTTTATTTGAATAAAGATTAATATTATTATGTTGATACAACTTAAACAAATTATTTCGACCAAATTAGGTACCATAAAAACGGTCTTTGTGAGTTGATCTTAAAAGATAGACATATACTGTCGCGGAGTGTTTTTTAGATCATAAAAAGGGCTATTATTCTTTGATACATATTTTTTGTGTATCTTGAACCGTTTTCACGGCGCACGCAACGGAAGGCTTCAAAGATGAAATAATTTCTCCCGTTTTTTACACATTTACCACTATATCTTTGCTCCTATTGGTCGTAGCGTGATGTTATATAGCCTAAAGCCTTCCTCGATAACTGGACTATCCAACACAAAAACAATTATTCAATTCGACTGTAGTTTCGGAGATTAGCGCTTTCAAACAAACAAACAAACAAACAAACAAACAAATTCTTCAGCTTTATAATATTAGTATAGATTAATCCCAAGTATTTTTCATTATTTGACTGTTTGATAGTTTGATTGTTAAGTATCAGTACATTATGGGAAGGAATAGATTTATTTTTGGCCGAAAAAATCATATATGAGGTTTTTGAGACGTTTAATGTAAGTAAATTGTACTGTAACCACCCGTATACGATATTTAAATCGTTTGGAGCTGTTTCAATAATACCGTGAATGGATTTTCCAAAATAAAATAAACAGTTTGTGATGACGTTTTCAAAGTATTGAGTTCTTTCTTTGTATGAAATTAATATAATTCAGTTACTATGCATTTTTTATTATTTTAACTATATACTACGGAAGTTTCGGTTACATTTCATCAACCGTGTGCATGAAGTCGTTCTGTTAGTCGGTCAGTGGGTCTTTTTAATTATAAAATCAAATCAATCCAAACATAAAACACTCGTAGTATATCGGAAAAATATTCGTTTAATTGAAATGAATATTCGCAAAAGTATTAAATATCATTCTTTCTTTGTGTTTATGTGGGAAAGTTTAAATCGGACTTAACAGTAATTTGTGTTAGTCGATTTCGGCTTATTCTTTACCGTAGTGAGTATACTCGATATTATAAATCGGCTTATCAACATGATGGGATGATAAATTTGTTTAATACTAGTTTTCCCCCCCGTCGTCATTTAAACTTCGGGATTAAAATCAGAAATATAGAAATACATCTATTGTATTACATTTTTTGATACCCAATACAAACTATTATAATTTATTTCCGCGGAAACTTCACGGTACCAACGAAGCCTAAAGCCTATTTCTTATTAAGAAATCTTCGCTAAAATACTGTAAAATTGTAATTGGATCTCATATGCAGTTATTGCGTATATATTGACAAAAACTATAAGATTACTCATACAAAACTGTGACACTGTACGTATAGGAGTTTTATAATTACTCACTGCGTACTCTGAGTTTAACCTAAACTCGGTTCCTTAGTATTCCTCTAAAGCCAGTATTATCCTCATTTAAAAGGCTATCCATCTGACGAGCCTCGCGCGGCCGCCTGTCTGGTGAGGATCAAAGGAACTGCTAAGGATTTAGCGGACGTCATCTTGGGCAACCTACCTCCTGGTAATGATGATAGCTTCAACCTCTCACCAGTAATGGTAGCTGCCAGCAAGCTGAATACTGATCTAGGAGCTCCGGAAACTAAATTGGAGGTGAGTTTTAATTTTAGGGCTCTTGTACTGCAAAAAATCCTCTCCATGTATATGCCGTGCAAATTTAGATCTTTATCTATTTGGACTTCACTTTACATGGCATTCAGGGCCCTTTTAATGAAAAAACGTCTCCAAATATATGCATTTTCAAATATGAGTCTTCCCCATCTAGTTTTCCGCGGGACTGGAAATATAAGAAAGAAAAATCAAACATATGGATAAATACTCGAAATAGTTTTAACAGCTCATGTTTTTATTTTCAGAGCAAAGCCTTCGAATGGATATCTAAAGGCACTGCCGCCATTATGATGGGACCCCGCGGAGAAAACACGGCCATTGGGAAAGCGGCAGAAAAAGCTGGCATTGGGGTAAGAATATTACGATTTTGCATGTGGTCCCAAAATATATATTGAAAAGTGTAAATTTTCTCTCAAAATTAGTTAAGGTTTTTATGGAGCGAAAGTAAGTTAACGTACAAATTTTTTTTTAAGGAATAATTTGTAGCAAACGAAAATATAAGTTGCAGTAAATTTGTAAATGTGTGTTGTAATAAAATTGTTATTAAAAATTACTCATTAGGAGAATGTGTCACTTAATGTTACTTTTAACCACTCTTTAGTGTCTGTAATTAAAAAAGCAAAAAATCTCCTAAATTAATAGATTATTGTGTACTCAAATCAATGCAAAATAATTTATGCTTACCTCAAGCTATCATACATTTGTTTTTGAATGAAATATTTAGTTTATTGAACTTTTAATTTATTGCGAGATCAATTCAAAAGTCAGTACAAACGTTATTTTTCAAGTGACAAAAAGCGACAGAAGTAAGGAAATATAAAATGGTAGCCTTCCATCCTATCAATTCTGTGCCTACATATTATCTTTTATAAATGTAAGCAAAAATCACTGTCCATAATGGCACCTAGAAACAAGTCTATATTCGATATGCTACATTGTCAATTAATACATTATTATACATACATATGTTCTGTCGCCGAGTCGCCATTCTAACATCGCACTGTTATATCTTTAAAAATTATATTACAATACATATATCTATAACTTAACTTTAAATAACTTTCTTAGGAGGAAGATATGGCTGGTATCACAATATCTCTCCCGGCCGCGGCCGCCTTCGCTGCGGCGAGTGAATCGGTACCACCGCCCCACATGCATCAAGACCACATGTATAACTTCCTGGGTATGATATATATACTAGAAACTTCACCAGACATCGCTCGTAGAATCTATTATACCTATATGCTTTGACAAAAAAAATGACAGTGGTGGCCTAGTGGTTAAAAGGCCTGCCTCTCATGCACGAAAGCGCGGGTTCGATCCTGGCAAGTACCAATGTGATTTTTCCGAGTCATATGTACTTTCTAAGAGTATTTAGACATTAATTAATGCATTCCCAAAGAGGGTTGATGTCAGGCATGACCGGTCGTAAAAACAATTAGCCATAACTATCCACAACATGTAAGGCAGACACTGGCTATAGCTAGAAAATTGCCAGGTAGAAGAAAAAAAAATTATCAGACAAAAAAACTGAACTTGTGATGTTTTTATACAACTGATTATAAAAGAAAAGTATATATTGTGTTAATATAATTATCATTTATCAATGCGATTGCTATGTATCAGACGCCGGAGTGGAATATTATCTCAACCACGTGAAGAAGACCGGCCGAAAGACCATTGAGCCAGAAGACCTGACGGAGAAGTTTGAGATGGGAGCGAACACCTTCTCTATAGAACTAGAAGAACCTGTAAGATTACCACTGAGGTTACCGGATGAAGCTGTTGGGGTGAGAGACTTGATATTAACCTTCTTTATATATATAATTCTTCTGTGAGTGTGTATGTCACTGAACTTCTCTCAAACGACTGGACCGATTTTGATGAAATTTTTTGTGTGTGTTCAAGGGGATCATCTGGGAATGGTTTAGATTCACAATTTTGTCCGCTGGACAATGGTTTTTTTAATTAATTTTTAATTTATTCGTAGTCGTTGATACAAACGTTTTTTTGACATTAGATTTGACAACTAACTAATATGTAAATCATTCTGTCGCACTTCAAAACACGTAGATTTATGGCTTAAAGGTAAACTCCAAAAATATAAATAAAAAAACGTAACAGATATTTGTTGATTATAGGGCGATACGAAGTTCGCCGGGTCTTCTAGTATGTATATCTATTTGATTAACAACTTTATTTCTAGGAGGGTGGCGAAGAAGAAGAAGGTGGGGATAAAGAAGATACTGGAGAAGAATTGGAGGAAGAAGAAAAAGAGGAACCTATGAAACGTTAATATATATTTCTATTTATTTATTTATAATTAGGGAAACATACAGCATATCGTATATTACAACTTAATATAATAATCATATTTTGACACTTATGCCAGTTAAGTTTCCACTACTGTTTATACGGGGAAGTGGACTAATTTTGATGTAACCTAAAATACAACTATTAATTAATTACTAATGAGTATTTTTCACAAGATTATAGAATTTACTTAAACAGATCAATGTGGTTGTATTTTCTATTATGACTATTACAAGATCTTAGAATAAAAGAATTTTTGAAATAATTATGTAGTTTTACAGAGAGGTATTGAAAAAGTATCCTGAGAGCGAGCGTTAAAACGAGGACATTTAAATAAAATATTACTGAGCAGATATGGAGAATCAACTAAATTATTTAATAAAATATAAAGTGATATAATATTGTTAGAAAGAAAATGTTTTGATTTTCAAAGAACGTTCACCGGCATATGGACAATTTATTAATATTCAAGACTAATTAGTTCAGAGCTTCTTCTCTTGACAATAGTTGAGAACATAATGTCAGATTGTCAGTAACGGTGTTCCTTATATAGATGGCTTGAGGGTTGATAGTTTAATAATTATTTATCATTTAATCCCTACTAATATTATAAATGCGAAAGTAACTCTGTCTGTTTTTTTTTTTTTTTTTTATGTCAAAGGTGGCAAACGAGCAGACGGCCTACTTGGTGTAAGGTAGTACCGCCGCCCATGTACATCCGCAACATGTTTGTTGCGAATGCGTTGCCAACCTTGTTTTTTTAGGAATGGGAAGGGGTGGGAATAAGGAAATGGTAGGAAAGGGTGGGAAATAGGGAAAGGGCAACCGGCTCTCTCACTCATCGAACGAAACGCAGCCACTAAGGCTACTTCACGTCGATCTTCTGTGAGAGGGTGGTACTTCCCCGGTCGAGCCAGCCCATGTTCGAGCTGCAATCACTTGACCACAGCTGGGCTCTACCACCTTAAAAATCTGTCTGTCTGTGAAGCTTTCACGTCTAAACCACTGAACTGATTTTAATGAAATTTGGTACAGACATAGAGTTGAAATTGAGAAAGAACATAGGATAGTTTTTAACCCAGACTTTTGAAAGGTTCTCTTGGAAACGCGATATAACCGAACTCCACTTCACTGTATAATATAAGAATTTTACTCATGTGTTTTCATTTCAATATATTATTACAGAGATAAAGGACGCACTGTTCAAGTCTTGGAACGATCACACGAAGCCTTCATCAGTGTATCTGCTAGTGGGTGATTATCATAGAATGGGTGTTTGGATGTCGGCCGGAGGTCAAGTGGTGGCCTTTGACCCAGCGCCCACCTTGACCAAGGGAATGTTGACCAGCCAGAGGATTAAGAAGGGTTTGTTTATATACATATTTAGATGATGTTATGTTTTGTCAATTTTGAAACAGAATAATAATATATTTTAGCTAAAAAAGAATCAAATAATGAAACTAATACTTTTTGGATTACTACGCGTATTTTATTATTTTGAACTATATATTACGAAGGTTTTTGTAACTTTTGAGCAACGATCCGAAAAGTATTAGTTTACTCGCGAAAGCCTTAGATCTCATTAAACAAACGGATTTTTAAATGCCTATTTCATATAAGGATTCTTATAATTATTCTTTAAATTGTGAATTTCTGTTGATAGGTGATGAGCTTCGTCTCCAGCGTATTAAGGACGAGATGTCTGGTGAAGGAGGCGACGCTGGTGAGGAAGAAGAAGAGGAAGCTGGGGGAGGTAAGAAAATGGGGAGGAAAATGTGGGAATGGGAAGGGAAAGGAATGGTTGGGAAAAGGGAAAAGGCAACCGTCTTTCTCACTCATCGGACGAAACATTAAAGGCTACTTCACGCCGATCTTCTATGAGAGGGTGGTACTTCGGCCAAGCCAGCCCATGTTCGAGATGTATTATGACCACAGCTAGGCTCTACCAACTCTAAATCACCAATATAATGTTTTGCTAAATATGTGTTAATGTCTTGTTTATCGAAGTGAATGTTTTGTGGCTATCAACAAGGTTGCGTTAAACGTTTAACGGTATGGCTAAGTGAATGAAAGATACATGAATGTACATAGATTCCGAGTATGTGCGCATAGTATTGTTGCTATACAGATAAGTAAACTAGAGAATAGCTGAAATACGTATTTGATGTTCTATATTAATATATTTTACTTTGATTTTATACACATACAATTTAATAGGAAATAATTTTATTTCCAAATTTTGTGGATAACAATATCACGTGGACCATTCCACGTAGTCCTTTTGTGTCTATATGCCTATACCTTATTTTTCATATACTAGATATATTTTTAAGTGATGATTGTTTTTCATCATCAGAAGGTGAAGAGAAACCTGAACCGGAGCCCGAGTTCGTTCCCCCGGAGTCTTGTCCCGCGCTGATGGTGTGTTCCAGCCCTGGAGAGTTTATTGATAGGCTCAGTGAGTATATAATAAAACACGATGATTTTTGACGAAAAGACTATGTAGTTAGGGATTTGCACTATGCAAATCCTCGTAACTACCATTGGAAGCAGATTATCAGAAGAAAGTTTTAGCTGAAATATCCCTACTAATATTATAAATGCGAAATTGACTCTGTCTGTCTGTCTGTTACGCTTTCACGACTAAACCACTGAACTGATTTTAATGAAATTTGGTACAGAGATAAAGTTGACCTTGAGAAAGAACATAGGATAGTTTTTATCACAGACTTTTGAAAGGTTCTCTTGGAATCGCGATATAACCGAACTCGACGCGGGCGAAGCAGCGGGCGGAAAGCTAGTACATTATATTAACGACTTTTAGGGATTTTTTTACAATTAGTAGTTATTTAGTGTTTAATTTATTATAACAAGTGTGACTTATGTAGCAACTTGTTGTTTAGCTTCCTAAGTGTTGTCTTGGAAGTTTTTTGCCTCCAAAACAGATATTGATATTTTTAGTCGTGATTATGTAGATGTAGATTATGTTCATAATTATGAAAGTGTTATTGCTTGTTATTTTCGAGGAGTTACAAAAACAGAAAGGGAAATGGTACAGCGAACATAAAATTTTCTAATAATAATAATGATGATAAATATTATGTCGTCATTCCGGTTTGAATTTAAATCTTTGTATATGTAAATATATATTACTTATTTGCTTATTTCATTTACGAAAATTACGTAAATAGTATCAAGGATAATAATAACTATAATGACTATTATTTTCCAGCTCTCCAAGGTGGTTTAGACAAGAAGCAGTGCCTGGCTCCATACAAGCTGTACCCGGTGAAGGTGATTAATGAATTGACGTCGGTCCTCAAGGAGAGGAAGCCCGGCGCCGCTAGGGCCGGCGAGGAAGATGCTGAGGATGAAGAAGGTAAATAACGAAATATTAGTCATTAATAAATAGTATTCTCCAAAAAACTACGAAACTAGGTACCTTGTAATAATAGTTTTGCCATGTTAAAAGGAACATTGATCATTAAACAGAAAGACGAAACCTCTCATCATTCCAATAATTCGCGGTGCGGGTGTCGGGTCCATCGTTGTAGTGAGAGGAGCTTCAACAGTGACTGTGACTTGTGACCCAGGTGTAGGTTTAATATATATAGAGAGACGAAACCTCTCATCATTCCATGTATTCACGGTGCGTGTGTCTGGTCCATCGTTGTAGTTAGAGGAGCTTCAACAGTGACTGGCACTTGCGACCCAGGTGTAGGTTTAAGGGACCCCTATCTAAGGCGTTCAACGCTCACCTCCACTATCCAAGCTCTCTATCTAAGCAAATCTGATCTTATTAATAGTTTTTTTGTCATTTCAGAAGGTGATGTTCTGATTGAGCCGTTGGACGACTCAGCCATCGGCACGTACTTCGACAGGATCGGACGAACAGTGGCGTCGGTTCGTGGCAGGGTAGCGCAGAATGAAAATTACTTCTTGGATGAACCTAACAGGGACAATCAGGTGATGTAGTACATAATGTGATCTAGGGTTTGAAGATTAGTGAAGGATATATAAAATTATATCACTAACATAATGTCGTGGTAACCTAGTGGTTAAAGGCCCGCCTTTCATGTACGAGGGCGCGGGTTCGATCCTGGCAAGTACCAATGTGATTGTTCCGAGTCATATGTACTTAAGAGCATTTAGACATCACTGACTGATCAAAGAAATTATGAGGAAACATGGACTTGAATCAAATTATAAGTTTTAAATCACTAACCCGTCTTACAAGCGTGGTGATTAATGCTCAAATCTTCTCCATGAGAGAAGCTCAGCATAGGCTCTGATAGGCTGATGATGATGATTAATAACATCTTTTTCATTACCAGGATGCAGCGAACGCGGTGATGGGCATCGTAGTAGAACACATAGAGCCTTATATTCACTGGAAGCCTCAATTGTTAGACGCTATCTTGAAGTATGGTGATAGGTACTACACCCTGTCACTACCGGGAGCTTTTAATCCACCGAAACTGAAAACCAGCGAACTGCAGAGTCAGTTTCATGTTACCAGCTTTAACGTGAGTAACTTTTATAAGGCTTGACTAAATAATATTGTTAGAAATTAATTAGGCAGTACATACTTCCACTTAGATGATTACTGCTCGACAACCTGGTATTAATTTACACTAAAACAAATATATAGATGGCGCTAGTTGACAATAAGAATTCACAATAAATATTAGAATATAACCGTACAGCTGTATAACTCTTTGCCTCTAAGTGTTGTAAATTCAATATCTCTAAATATATTTCAAAAACGATTAAGAACCTATATATCAGATGATTACGCTGATCTTGTTTAATATCACTACTGTTTATTATTTGTAATCTTAATTATAGTTACAATTTTAAAATTTTCTTTGTAAGCGAACTTTGTTCTGTTTGGAAATAAACTTCTTGAAACCTTAATATAAATAACGTTTAGCTTAGAATTGTGAAGTAGACAAATATTTAAATCATTATAAATAATTATTACTAACTATATATAAGCTAAGATCGTGTTTTATAAAGTCCAGATTCATAACCATCATTATACGGAAAGCCGGGTAATGTTTCTATACCAAAAGTATGATTAATAGATAAAAAATTTGTTATAATTAGGTAAAAGTTGAAGTTGAACCGGATGTGGTGTGTGGAGACATCCGGGCGGGTGGTGGAGGAGGCGCTCTCAGTCTGAACAAGGGGCTGCAGAGGTTCTTTGAAACTGTAGGTGCTTTTATATAACTCACTAGAAGACCCGGCGAACTTCGTATCGCCCTATAATCAAGAAATATCTATTACGTTTTTTTATTTATATTTTTGGAGTTTACCTGTAAGCCATAAATCTCCGTGTTTTGAAGTGCGACAGAATGATTGACATATAAGTTAGTTGTCAAATCTAATGTCAAAAAAAACGTTTGTATGGGAAATAGAAAAGGGCTGTTTTTATGGTTTTCCCAGTAATGAATCAATTTTTTTCAGCTTTTATACCTTCCCTGAACCTCCACGAACATTTCAAGACTAAGATAAGATAAATCCGTTCATTGGTTCTCGAGTTTTAGTGAGACTAAGGAACAGCAGTCCATTTTTATATATATATAGAAGATTATATGGATATTATTATTAATGAATTTAGATATTCTTTGAGATATTGTACTCATCAAATACTCCCGTCAAATCTATCTTTATATATATAATTCTTCTGTGAGTGTGTATGTCACTGAACTTCTCTCAAACGACTGGACCGATTTTGATGATTTTTTTTTGTGTGTGTTCAAGGGGATCTGGGAATGGTTTAGATTCACAATTTTGTCCGCTGGACAATGTTTTTTTAATTAATTTTTAATTTATTAGTAGTTGTTGATACAAACGTTTTTTTTTACATTTGATTTAACAACAAAAACTAATATGTCAATCATTCTGTCACGCTTCAAAACACGGAGATTTATGGCTTTAATAGGTAAACTCCAAAAATATTAATAAAAAACGTAACAGATATTAGTTGATTATAGGGCGATACGAAGTTCGCCGGGTCTTCTAGTATATATATGAGATTTCCACCTATACATTGACTCATCACGATATCTCTGGAACCATAAGGCGTAGCGACTTGAAATTTGGTAGGATTATTCCTTTCGCCGAGTAGAGGTCAGCTAAGAACGGATTTTACGAAATACCACCCACAATGCGGTTGCGGGGGGTTAACAATGGAAAATACGCTTTCACGCGTAAACCACTGAACTGATTTTAATGAAATTTGGGACAGATATAGAGTTTACCTTGAGAAAGAACATAGGATAGTTTTTATCCAAGACTTTTGAAAGGTTCTCTTTGAAACGCGATATAACCGAACTCCACGCGTTGGAAAGCTAGTATGTCATAAATTCGACTTATTTTCTTATATATCATTTATATTACAATTTCAATATATCAGTACAAGTACGGCGTGCTCTGCGCCAAGGACTACTGCGTGGGTCTTTGGAAGGGTGCTGATGATAAGTCTATATGTTTGTGGGAGCCCCACGCTGTGGGTCCCGCAGGCCTAGCGTCTCCCGGGGGGGCTGCGGCCTTAGTAGTCATGTCCACAACAGAACAAGTGGCTAATGCGTTTAAAACTACTATGGAGAAATTGGCAAGGCCAGGGTCCAATAAGTAAGATGAAAACTACGTATTCCTTGAATTTTTGTAGTTTGTAGGGCCAGGGTCCAATAAGTATGATTAAAACTACGTCTTCTTTACATTTTTGTAGTTTGTAGGTCTCAAACTATATAATGATTTGAAAAACTATATAAAGGAATTTTTTAAAAAATAAACTTATATATATTAAACAATATTAAGTAGTACTAGCCATTCACATTTTTGTAGTTTGTAGATCTTAAACCATATAATGATTTGCCAAACTACATAAAGGAATGTATATGTTTAAATTCTTTTAAAAATAAAATATATTAGACAATATTAAGTAGTACTAGCCATCCCATGTATCAAATATTAATGTATATGTAACATTATTTAATCTCATGTAAGTGAACCTATGTATGTTCTTATGAGAATAAAGATTTAACCATAATCTTGTTTTCTTTTATGGAAAAACTCCAAAAAATATTACAACTTGTCTGTAATAGAGTAATTTACTTACAGTTTTTCCAATATTAATAAAATGTGATAATAAATGTTGTTTGTTTGTAGATTCTGTATATCATCAGTGAAGGTGTTCTGGGAACTCTCAAAGACTCCTGGCTCCGTGTCACCACAAGGAGCTGTTCCAGACGAGGGTTATGAGTGGAAGGTCAGCATCATGTCTATAATGATCGACATATCAATTGATTGGAATGGAATATGATATTTTGTTTAAATATTTATCATAACTATTTTGCTTATATATGTAGATTTAAAAAAAAGGTTTTATCGATAAATTTTTGTGAAGTGCCAGGTTTCTTTTAAAAGGATAGTATAAAATTTTGTTTTTCTTTTGGAATATGGTATAATTTAAAAAAATCGGTCACTCGCTCTTAGATACTAATCGAGAAGGTTATATGTACTTAAAATAAAAAGGGATTGTTAAGTATTAAGCTGTTTTTTTGTGATCTACATATCGGATTATAACAAATAAAGGTATATTACATCAATAATGGATAAATGAATAGTTCTTTTAGTCGCTTGATAATTTCAAAGTATAGGATATATGGTCGGTATTAATTTGTGTTTCTTATTTGCAGGTTTTGACGGCGTATGTTGAAACAGCTAGAGGAAGAACTATACTACGAGGGTCAAGACCACCAGATTTATTACGGTAATAGACTATTTTCATGCAAAATAATTAAATCATCAATTTCACTATCTTTTTATACATTAAGGATGTTTAAATGATGTATATGAACATGGTCATAGTTATTCATGTTTTTGAATACTTCATTAAGTACAAAATTATACAAAATCTTTGTATACTAAGTATTTTATTAATAACAAATATATGATATAAAGTTAGTCTTTTTTTAAGGCATACTTTAAAATCGAACCTCTGCTACCTATGACCTATTTATCCTGAACTCTATTTTCTAATAGTCCCACTTTGTACAGTAATACTTATAATTGTATGAATTATTTCATTAATAAGAAATTTAGGATACAAAGCAATTCCTTTTTCTCTTGTATATAAACCACATCGATCGTCTTTAGGCAGATCCTCTAATAGGACCTATTTGTTTTGAACTACCTGTATATTCTAATAGTCCCATTTCATACAATAGTCACATAGACCATATGATAATAGCATCTATTTGTTCTTTGTATCTTCTTCTTCTACCTGGCAATTTCCCAGCTATAACCAGGGTCTGCCTTACATGTTGTGAATAGTTTTTGCTAATTGTTTTTACGATCCACCTACCTGACATAAACCCTCTTTGGGAATACATTAATCAGTGATGTCTAAATACTCTTAAGTACATATGATTCGGAAAAATCACATTGTTACTTGCCAGGATCGAACCCGCGCCCTCGTGTATTAGAGGAGGGCCTTTTAACTAGGCCACCACTGAATTTTTGTTCTTCGTATATTCTAGCCCCACTTCATACAGTAATAATACTTATAATCTTCTTCTTCTTTTTCCTGACAATTCCCAGATTAAGCCAGGGTCTGCCTCTATAATACTTATAATATGAATTATTTTATTAATAAGAAATAAAATAAAAATAAACAAGTTCCTTTTCTCTAGCACGCAGACCACATTGATCATCTTAATAGAACCTTTAATAGGACCTATTCTAACAGTCCTAATACATACAATATTTATACCCCAGGTTCACTCGCGACGCTCTCCTCCAATCAGCGTGCGGCGCTGTATCAGCTCTCTGCATGTCCCACGTCCGACGACCTCATCTATGGACGCGTGCCACCGTGGATGAAGTTATGGCGATCGCCGGCTCGCTGTTCGCTAGTTCAGTAGCAGCACTCGGCTATGAGTTTCGGCCGGGAGAAGACGTGTTGTTGCCGCTACAGGTTAGAATTTGGTTTTTTATGGGAAAAGGAGGCAATAGAGCCAGTAACTGGGGCGGTGCTAGCAGTGCCCAGGCACAGGGCGCAGAAATGACCAGACTAGTATCTAGTTTTATCTCATACATGGCAGCTATATACTTATATACTTTGTTAAACAACAAATAGATAGATTTATTTGTATGCACATTAGTCCATTTTATTTTTAGAGCCTGGCTAGAGCATTTTTTAGGGGCGCAGTTTTGAAAACTCGCACCGGGTGCATAAAAGTATAGTTACAACACTGAATAGAGCGGACGGCCTACCTGATGTAGGTTGTACCGTCGCCTGTATACATACGTAATATAGTTTTGCGGATGTATTGCACTTGGTTGGGGAAAAAGGGAGGAAATAGGGGAATGGGAGGCTCTACGATCTCACAAAATAATAATAATCATCTTATTTACATACTATTACTAACTTAAAGTTTATAGTACTTTAAAATAAAGCACGCGTAGTATATCCAAGAAATATTATTTTCATTTAAATGAAAACCGAAAAGCTTAGATCTTATGAACTATGAGTGTTTTGTTCCAAATTAGTTGGACTGTACAAATATTGATATGGATTTGTGCTTGGTTTAAATCTACTTAGATGATAACTCTCTTATAAAGCTTATCTTGGTCAGATTGTTGATTAAGTAGTCAAAAATTCTATTCTTGGTAATGAGCTTTTAAGTGCTTATTGTGAAGGTTTTCGCGATATATAGATAATTAGAATATTAGCAAAATATATGATAATCTTGTAACACTAGGTGGTGAAGAGGTTTGTACTTGGTGTCAACTACGTGCGTTACGACCTGCAACAGATATTTTCTGGAAAATTGGAACAGAAGGAACACACTGAGATGACCGTGAGGTGAGTGGACTGTAGAGACTGTAGTGTATATAGACGACATCCCTATTAATATTATAAATGCGAAAGTAACTCTGTCTGTCTGTTACGCTTTCACGCCTAAACCACTGAACTGATTTTAATTACATCAGTGGACCATGAGAAAGAACATAGGATAGTTTTTATCCCAGACTTGTAAGGTTCTCTTGGAAACGTGATATAACTGAACTCCACGCGGGCGAAGCTGCGGGCGGAAAGCTAGTCATAATAATAAACAAAGATGATAATAATTTAAATAAAAATGTTACAAAAATCGTTAATGGTAAAAGTATTAGGTTAGTATAGCCATGAAATAACTATATAGTACATCAATGGCTTTAAATACTAAATACTGACGCTGAACCATCGGTGGAAATGGGATATTACTTTTAACATATATTCAGTCTGGTTTAAAGACGACTCTTTAGAAATTAGGTTAGGTAGAGAGAGGAGCTTGGACCTTGGAGGTGATCGTTTAACGCGTTAGATAGGGTCCCTTAAACCTACACCTGGGTCACAAGTCACAGTCACTGTTGAAGCTCCTCTCACTACACGATGGACCCGACACACGCAATGTGAATACATTGAATGATGAGAGGTTTCGTCTCTTTAAGTCTTAATTGCAACCAGAATATACAAGTTTTATAAGTACACTTGATTTTTCTTGTATTCCTATATATCCTATATAGTAATAAATATTGTTTTATGTATAACTAAGATGCGCCCTCGAGCGTTTCTTCGAGTCCCACACACACGGCGTCTTGTGGTCGGTGCCTCACGCGGTCGCCGTGTGGAGGGTGGCGGGCGCTCCGCCCTTCTATATGATGGAGCCCCACGCTTGTGGACCAACGGGGCTCCGGGTTGATGCACAGGTAATAATAACCATTACATTAGGATTAGTAAGTAATTTCCACTAGACTATAAAAAAAACTTTATTGACTCAAGGTTTACATAGCAATCAAGTTGCAAGGGCCCCTGTACTAGGTGCAAATAAAAAAACTATTTTTATAGTATACTAGTTTTACCCCGTGACTAAGTCCATTTAATTTCGTCATTAGTAATATATGTATAGCTGACCGGAAAACTCTATTACGTCTTAGAGGCCGTAAATAACTAGATATTGGTGTTTATTATTTATTATTTTTCGTTTTTTGATCAACCAGAATTAAATATCCTATGTCCTCTCCTTTGTTATTAAGTTGTAAATAATGTAACTAACACGACTTTCTTTAATACATAGATTTCTTGTAAATTAATATTTTTTATATAATATTTTTTGTAGGACGATGGTGCTGCCTGTGTATTGACTTTTACGTCAGCGAAGCTTATGGCGTTTGCGTGAGTGTTTTTGTCTTTACCACAAAAAAAAAGCATAATTTGATAAATGTTTCAAACATATATATCGATGTAACTTTTTATGATGTAACTGTACATAATGATAACATGAATGATAATAACGATGTTATCATGAATGATATTTGTCAGTTTTTGTAAATGAATAGTTGTGCCTACGTATTATGTAGTTAGGATTCTAACAAAATAATTAAAAGATATAGTTTTCTTATAGAGACAGTACTTTTGAATAACTAATAAAACTATATAAGTTAAAATTCAATTTGTAAATATATTTTCCCGCGTAAAAGTGAACAAATCAAACGTCATCGCTTTAATATCACTTCGGATGCGTTCGGGAATTTAGGTTCGGTTCAAATTAAATTTATGTTCGCCAAGTATATAATATGATGTTATTAATGTAAGCTAAAATCACTGTCCATATTGTCACTTAGAAACAAACTGATATTCGATATGTTACATAGTAGATTAATAAAACAATATATTTCTGTCGAAAGTTGCCATCCAAACTTGGCACGTAAATCACGTCTCAATAATTAAATTATTATATTTATTACAAGACTATCAGGCAAATAGTTATTCATTAATCTTTACTCAAATTTCAAGCCATTTACTCTTTTCCAATAGCTAGTATATAATTATTTGTTTCCAGTTATCTCCAGAACATTCCAGTGACCGAACGTCCCAAGCACGATTTTCAGTTATACGCTATGTCAGTGACTGTTCAGCCGATAAAGAAACTTGGAGGCGTTGAGCCGCCGTTGGTGCGAGCTCCTCCGGGAATAAAACTTGTACCAGCCACTAGTAAGGTGAATTGGACACTTTGATTGAGAGAAAATACACTATTTAGGTTTAAATGGTCTATAAGTGGTGGCCTAGTGGTTAAAAGGCCCGCCTCTCATGCATGAGGGCACTGGTTCGATCCTGGCAAATACCAAAGTGATTTTTACGAGTCGTATGTACTTAAGAGTATTTAGACATTAATTAATGCATTCCTAAAGAGGGTTGATGTCAGGCAGGCGGATCGTAAAAACAATTAGCCAAAACTGTTCAGAACTGTAAGGCAGACCCTGGCTATAGCTGGGAAATTGCCAGGTATTTAATATTATGTTCCTAGTGAACCAGGAATTTCTAGCTCAACGTGATAGGATGAATTTGTTTTTTGTCTAATGACTTCATCAGATACATTTTGGTGCCCTTGATTGTGGATTTGAGCAAACAGTTTCTTTCTCAATCTTAATTTTTTCCTATTGTCACTTGTAATTGTTCCTAGTTATAAATATATACATATGTTTGAGATTTTCAACTCGTTTCTGCAAATGTTCAAGCGTACTGTCACATCTGGGTGCATTCTCAAGACACTTGTTTGAATATGTCACAAAAGAACTTCGAATGTTAGTTATAAATGCGAGAGTAACTCTGTCTGTCTGTTACGCTTTCACGCCTAAACCACTGAACTGATTTCAATGAAATTTGGTACAGACATAGAGTTGACCTAGAAAGAATATAGGATAGTTTTTATCCCAGACTTTTGAAAGGTTCTCTTGGAAACGCGATATAAACGAACTCAACGCGGGCGAAGCTGCAATGGAAAGCTTGTAATTAATAACAAGAAAGTCTCACAAAATCTCTTCTCTTATTTGGTTGTGGTCTAGAAAATATCGTTTTTCTCGTCTATTGAAAATAAAAATTATGGGAAAAGGAGTTTATAGTAAAGATTTCAACAGGTGGGTATAGACGGCAGTAAGAGGAGAGCGGCGGAAGGTGATAGGAAGCACCCGCCGGGGAGCGCGACTTGTATAGACGCTCAACGAGCCTCGGAGAAGAGGGACAAGGAGGAGGGGAAACTTAAAGGTAGGGAACTAGTTGTGATGGAATAAAAGAAACTGTTGATTATCATGAAATGCTGAGATAATTGTCATCTAATTGATTATTTGGGTTAAAAGACATTTTTAAATTAATTACTGCTAATTGTATAAATGCGAAAGTAACTATGTCTTGGTCTGTCTGTATGTTTGCTACATTTTCACATGCCTAAACGAAATAAAAAAAAAACAACAAAATAAATACTAATAATCCCTAAATATCGAAAAAAGCTCAGTAACCAGATATAATAATGTTACCCAATCTATCTCTATATATACGAAACTTAAAAATAATGTACCAACTGTACAGAAAGCGTGACATATTAAGATAATAACCTTTTTACTAAGTAGAGAAAATTTTATCTGAATTTGACACTTTCTTATTTGGGAAATAAATGACAACAAACATAGGAATAATAATAATTTGACAACCGTAATGTCATGTCAATAAAATAGAAAAGTGATGTAGCGAAATAAAAATAGGAATTTACATTAATATAGGATGATTGGGTCGACGAGCACTTACAAGAAAGGTTGGTAAAAACGTTATGAAAGCATGGCTCAGTGTGTAAATATTGTAGTTTTAATAACATATAGAGGTCACGGGTCCAAAGCAATCCTGTTGAAGCATAAGTCACTTTTATCGTAATAATATCTCAATACTGGTATTCTATAAGTTGTGACTTTTAGACACAAAATTTTATACTAAAAGACGATTTTCTTCCTGCTTTTTTTTATTTTTATTAAAATAGACATTGGGCTGCTCCGACTTGAGCGACATGAATCCCGTTAAATACCTTTTACTAAAAAACACTAACGCTAAATAATAATTAGTAATATTTAAAAGATATTCTTAATGAATCGTTTATGGTAAAGTTGACAGCGAAGGTGACAATTTTTACTTTAATAAAGAAATCTTCCACGCATATATGTACATATACACGAAGTTTGTTCTTGCACATCTGCATGAATACTTTTCTACAGACGTTTGGTCCATTTTTTCTATATAATTTAAAAACCTTTGCTATCCTTTATACAATCCATGTACTCTTATAAATATTATAATGTTTTCTGTCTTATATATTTGTATAGACTCAAACATCATGTCAGAGCAGTTACTCGTTGAGCAATTTTAAAAAATCCTATTACTTTCTAAGCTTGCATCACATCCATGTGTATTCGTAATGTAGTGCCCTGAAAGAGGAATGAAAACCGAGACTGCTGAATAGATACTGCCTTTATTACCAATAGTTCGTACAAAATTAGGTTACGTAGTATATAATGGTTAATAAGTATGTTTAGTTATTTATCTATTCACTACATCTCAATATAATATATTGTAGTGTATGTATGTATACAATATATATAATACACTGTCTCACGTACCCCACTGGAGATGCGGCATTCGCTCGGCAGACTATCGACTAGCGCGGAGCAGAACGGGGACGTGCGTCGCTCTAGGCGGGGTAGTAGTGAGACAGGGACTAGTTATACCAGGGATCCTACACATATTAAGTTCAATACTTTGATTGATTGTGTCATAATAAACTCCCAACCAGGTCAGCGTAACACGAGCGGCTGGCTGGTCCTCAACGACGGGACTCAGTTCCTGTCAGCTCAACACTCGATGTGTTGTAGGAAGTTCCCTTACGCCTCGCGAGGACATCAGGTATGATACACTAACACAAGGCGGGAAAAACACCGAAAACTTGATTGTTTTTGGGTACATTCAGAAGTTAATTTTGTATTGTTCTATTTTTGTTAGCTTACATAAGATTTTTTTCTCGATAAGGAAATTTAGCCCATGACTTTATTCTAGAAATATCTGCGAAATTCTATTTCTAGTCGAAAATAATTTGTTATCGAGCGTAAGTTGAATAATATCAACCGCATTTTGAAAAGCGTGTTTTTATAATCGTTGTTACTGAAGTACATATTTTACCTGACATTACACAGCATTGGGAACAAATCTAAATTTAGTTAAGGCTTTAACTTTGAAACAAACTTTGATAGATAGATAGATAAAAACTTTATTTGGATCACACCACAACATGAGTAAAAAAAAAATAACAAAAACAATAGGGAAATATTAAAATACAAAATAATAAAAAAAAGGTTTTGTTTGGCTGTTTTGTTATAATTTTTAGTGCCTTAGGGCAAATCTAAAAGTTATATAAAGATATTAATTATTCAAATAATTTGTCATGAAGGCACTGGCGTGTGCTGTTATGTCTGTGGCCATGTCTCGTGTGGAGGACGTGTGCCGCTGGTGCTCGTCGACCTTGGACCAGATCCTGGAGGCTGGAGACCAGCTCTATCAAGACAGCTACCTGCACTTTAAACCACAAGGACCTATACTTAGCATTGAACAGGTTTTGTTTGATTTAATCCTCTATATACTATATAATCGATGAAACCTCTCATCATTCAATGTATTCACGGTGCGTGTGTCGGGTCCATCGTTGTAGTGAGAGGAGCTTCAACAGTGACTGGGACTTGTGACCCAGGTGTAGGTTTAAGGGACTCTATCTAACGTTAAACGATCACCTCCACCGTACAAGCTCCTCTCTCTACCAAATTTGAAAAGAACCTACTAGAGCTGCCCTTAAAAGTACGTTCCAAGAATGAATTTATATCAGGTCTGAACAGGCCCAAGTCTTTAATTAAATTAATCGAAGACAAAAAATGATTAAGGGTATGTTATTTGTAATCAGGTACTTCGCAAGTTCTACACGCCCGGTAACTGTGTGTGTCGTGTCGTGGTGTATCAACCAAGACAGAAGGGAATTGTGGATACTGACTTGGTAACGCAGGTAGGGAGAGTGAAGATGCGATGATGAATGATGATGAGATGTGATGAAGTTGATGATGAATTCTGTTATATATGACGTTTCAGCTGACTGAGTTCTTCCGAGAGGAGAAGTGTGGAGTTCTGGTGGCTGGGAAGGGAGACTTTGCCGTTGGACTGTTTAGAACACCTAGAGGTTGGAATATATTCATATTATCATAATTTTCATGACATATTGTAAAGAAATTTATAAAAATGTTACTATGTATGAGTCATATGTACTTTAGTATTTAGATCATATATTTACATCACTGACAGATGAAGGAAAACATTATAAGGAAACATGGACTTATCAAATTATAAGTTTGAAATCACCAATCCGTTTTTGCAAGAGTGGTGATTAATGCTCAAACCTTCTCCATGTGAGAAGAGGCTCAGCAGTGGACTTTGAATGGCTGATTATGATGATGTTTGTATGTATCCAGGTTTCTACATGTTCGACGCCAGTGACCGTGATCGTTACGGCCGTGCTGTCGCTCCGCCCTGTAGGGGCAGAGCCCGGGCCTGCTTCTCACAGTACCCTAATGTTAGTATACAGAAACTGAAAGAAAACTCTTGAACCTTGATTGAATACTAAGTTATTTTGATATAAAACTTCATCAATAGACGTGAAGTTGAGTTTTTCTCTAAAATCTAAAACAACTGTATCGAGTTGTATGAAAATTTGCATTAATTTAGCGTATAGATGTGATACAAATAGCAATTTTTTCTGTACTGTAATATGTATATTTTTTGGAATTTTAAATTTGGTTTTAATAAAGAAAATATAACTTATCAAACTGATAACATTACTAAAGATGGTTAATATTATATTTAATTTGTTTATCGTTAAATAATTTCAGGTTTTAAGTTTAGCGGAGAAACTGGGTTCAAACATACCACCGGTGATGGTCACAAGACAGGAGGAAGATGAGAAAACAGTAAGAAATATGATATTGTATATAAAATTAGGTATTTTTGTGGTTTGTTTAACATTTTTTATTTTTCAGGCCACGGAGGGTGACGCGGCGAAGGTTGAGAATGAAGAGAAAGAGGTATTAATGGGCTTACTCTTTGAGGATTGATAATGTAGCCATGTTCATTATAATATATGCCAGATAAAGAAATTTATTAAAACTATTATGTATCGAAATTACGAATTATTATTTGACTTTTCGAATTAGTAGTAGATTTTTTTTTATTTGTGTTATTACATTAATATTGCTCTTCTTGCTCTCGCTAATTTTTTTTTAATTATTGTGTTTCAATTTGCTATTCTATATCATGATTACTTTATTATATTGTTTCGCAGGTTCACTTTGAAGAACCGGCAGGGTTCATGATTTTCGGCATGGAGGTCACCAGCTTACGGAGACTTAACCGACACGAAAAGTGAAGGAAAATAATTATTAATTATAAGGCCATCTGTTGACGAAACTATATAAGTAGGTGCTAGCCGCTAGAGTTGTGAACTAACACAGTATTGACTTCCGTTATTTTTGGTGCCAAATTGTCGTGTCTTGTAAGCCACATTTCGTTTATTTGGAACATTAAAAAAAATTGAATATTTCGTGTTTTATTTTGAAGGTGCGTTTGCGAAATGTTAATGATTTTTTTACAATATGACATGAAACTTCTCATCATTCAATGTATTCACGGTGCGTGTGTCAGGTCCATCGTTGTAGTGAGAGGAGCTTCAACAGTGACTGGGACTTGTGACCCAGGTGTAGGTTTAAGGGGTACTTTTATAAGATAGCACGATAAATAAATAATATAATTAACTTAATATAAAAAAAATATATAATTAAATTAATATAATCCTTTTTAAGACAAGACAATAACTGTAACGATGAAAGTTCAGAGGATTCAGTTATTTCAATTAGATGTTGAATATTATTTATACCTATTTGAAAATAAAATTTCTATTTAAATTTTGTCTTCAAAATTATAGATGTTTAGGTGTCTAAAACGTTACGTAGGAAACAGCTGATTGGCTCTCCTAGTCAATATTATTTATAATATAGTCAATTATTAAATATTAGTTATAAAAAAGGCCTTATTGCTTTAAACAGTGGTAATATTATTTTTTCTTACAATTCATTCTTAAACGGAGATTTATTTGTGTTTATAGTTATACATATAGATATTTAAAAGTATAAGATACATAATATATAGTAGTTATATATACATTTTCTAGCCTATTTATTTGGAAATCTATTTGGTAACTCTTAGTTAAGGGATGTAATATAAATAATATTGTATTATGTATATATAAAATAAAACAACAATAGTATATAAAATATATTTATATCATTTAGTTACAGAACTTAACCATACATTAAATTCTAAACTTTCAACATCTGCACATATTACTCACGGTTTCAAAATATAAAACTGTTTAAATACTTGTGCGTCTAAAACTAAATGGAGTTGTATCAAACTTTGCATCAGAACTACATGGAACAACTAGAGGTACAACTAGAAATGTGACTAGGATTCATTACTACTGTTGTTTGAGATTCTACTAGACTTCTTTGGAATAAAAAAATGTAGGATAGTTGTGAAAAACTTTGCATCAAGCCTGTAGTTTAATAAATGTGAGCGGTTCAAAAAACTTATAATTCAATATTAACAATCAATCAAATATTGCACTAAAATTAAACATCTAATATTATTTTTCTATTCTACTCAATGGCATAAACATGACACGACTTACAAAAAATCTAATTTAGTTTTATTTGAGCTATGTATTTCATAGCAAACAAAAAACTGTTATACATTTAAAAAATTGATAAAATAGTTGAACATATTTATATAAATAAATGTGACACTAATTAGGTTTTTCAGAACATACATATTAACAAGAGAAATTGAATATAAATGGATTATTAAAATAATATTAATATAGTTCAATCACCTCTAAGATATCTTTATTACCTCACCCTGAGGTAATTACCTCTACCAATTACCCGTTACCCAGGAGGCCACTTCATTTGCCGTCCACCGAGCACATGTAGGTGTAAATGATAAACGCTTTGAGCTCCTTGGACTCCATTGTTGATGACCAGACGCCAGCCTTGAGGAGCTCGGGAGGATGCTAGGGAGCCAGCTACTAGCATGAGGTGACCTAGGAGCTGTGATAGGTACAGAAATAAATATATGATAAAATGCTCATATATATAATTTTGTCAATGAATGATTAAGTTGAAATTTAGTTTAACTGATATATATAGATTACTTTGGTATGGAAACATTTGCTTACATATAAATGATTTAGTAATAAAACTATATAATATTAAACTAACTCATTCTCATGATGAAAGTTAGGTCAAAGTAACAGAAATATCAGGAGTATGTTGTTAAATATGTTTATAAATGTGTTGTAAGTCAAAAAAATATTCATTTTATTTCAATAAATACTATCAAAAGTCTCAGATGTCTTAATAGAGAAAACATGCATACTATTAAAAATGACAAATAAAGAAATTTAAATTTTATATATACATCCCGACGTGATTTTGTAAAATAGTTCATTCTGACATATTTTCATGTGAAAAATTTAATTTAGACAAGGTAAATCACATCGTAATTAATTGTCACAACTCAGGAATGTGATAAGCTATCAGCCTTCTGTTTGACTCGGCAGATACAACACACAGATAAGAATCATTGATATATAGAAGAACATATACTTCTGGAATATATTGCAATGACGGTGATAGTTTTGAAATAATTTCCATTTAGTTGTGAAAGTAAACTTGTTAAATACTTTAAGAATGTTTATATATATGTTCTATTGAGTTTTATTACATAAACAACCTAATAATGACGAATTTGAGAGCTATAATGGCATTATATAGATCTTTCAGCTAAAAGATTACAAAATATTGTATCATCTATAAAAAAAACATTTATCTAACTTCACCCAACTTTAATACTTATATATTGAAAGTAAAATGATCAACCTACAAGGTGTAAAGGCATATCAATGGTTAATAAAATTACGTTTAGATACTGCCTTCAATGATTAAATTCATTCAATATAATGTTTCACGAAACTAAGATACAACTTTATCATCGCTAAATCTCTACTGAGAACTATTCTGACTGTGTTCAGTGTTACTGCCATATGTCTTCCTCAAACATACCTCCTTGTCATCTACTTCGCTGTCCTGTAATCTAGGTATTCTTCGTTTTGGTATAATCAGAAAATGCACAGGCGCCTGCGGTGCTATGTCGTTGAAAGCCAAACAGACGTCATCTTCGTAAATTATATCCGCTTTCATCTCTTTTGAGATGATTTTGTCGAAAATCGTAGGAGAATTTGAAATTTTTGCATTTTTCGCGCGATTTACTTCATCGCTGTACGGTCTTCGGAGCGCTATCGCCGTTCCTTTGGACAGATCGTAAACGTTCGTGGGATAGGTCTTCTTGATTCGGAACTTGAGGGCGCGTTGGAGAACTTTGTTAAACATTTTTAATATTATCTAACATCACTCCGCTGTTCAAGTATTTTTTAATTGTCCTTATTGTTTTGACGAGTGACTTTGGACCTTGACAGATCGCCGCATTCCATTCTCATTTCTTATTGCCGCTTTGAGTTCTTGCTAGCTAAAATTTTTAAATAATATTATTTTCTAAAAATATTTCATTTAATGCTTACTGTTAAAAGTAAAAAAAATAAAAATAATATAGTATAAAGCAGAATATCTCTTATACTCTTCCCCCCGGACCGCTGTAGAGTGCGAACGTGTACCCAAACTGTATAATTTTGTTAATTCGAAATTAAAATAAAATTGTTGAAACTTAAATTCTGGTGTTAAAATAGGAGTGCATAATAAACAAGAAGTAATTCACGTGAAGATTCAACCTTCGTGCAGTTGCTAGTGCCCTAAATGCTAATTAGGCGAGCAAGCAAAGAAACTAATTTACAAGCGCGGTTTCAAAAATTATCAACCTTAATTATATTGTGTTCATCATTACTGCAATCGCTTCTCCAATAATGTTCCAATACTTTTTGGATACTGATAAAATAAAGAAAGATATATATATAAGATGTGTCTTCCATAATAATACCGCTTAATTATTATTCGGTAAATGTTCATACATAATACCTTAAAACAGTATTAAGGTCTAGACTACAAGTAAGATCAAGAGGATCTGCTCTATTCTCATAAAAATATAACATTTTATATGACTTATAGTTATATCGTATCTTTATGAAATGCATTTATTCGTTACTTTTTACCATTAGAATATTTAAATTATTTATCAGCTTTAATTGTAATTCTTGTACACTACGACACTTACTCCAAGTATATTTTTTAGTTTGCTGTTTTTACTCTTATTAATTTTAAAGCATTTTTCCCACTTGAAATGAAAGAAATATCATTTATTTTAATACCCAATATCGAATAATTTCCCAAAAGTTTTTAATTAATTAGTAATAGAAAAATAAAAGTAAATTGAAGTACATTGATTAAGTGTCACATAAATATATCAAGATTTTTAGTTAATCTTTTCATTATGCATCTATATTTATAATAGTATTAAGAAAAGGAAAATAAAAAAAATGTTCGATTACAAAAGATTTATTAAAGCTTTCGTCGTACGGAAATAAATAGTTATTTATTTACAATATACCGTTACCACTACAACTATAAAATATGAAAGATTACCAACAACCTTAAACATTATGTTTAAACACTGTTTCAATTAATTATAATCATAATAACTATATTATTTTATAATATTATGCTATAACATTGACTGCTTATGTATTTTTAATCAGAATGTTGGTATACCCAAAATAGAATTATTTATTTTTCTTCTCCTTATTTCTAAGTTATATAATAATTAAAAATAATTCTATAAGCGATTAAAATAAACTATTTATCATCTCTCATTCAGTCACAACATCCAAAAAACATTTACAAATAAAGATACACATGAAAGTAATCTTTGATGAAATGGCAATACAAGAATCCATATTACGTCAATGTCACTCAGACACTCTCTGTCACGTTCTTATAAGCAGCGAATGAGAGGGACAGCAATAATCTTAAAGTTCCATAGACTACTTCTCTGACGCTCTTGTTCTGTAAGACCAGCCTGAACACTAGCATCAAGATGAAGAAGATCACGCCCTTGTGGAGGAAGTACATCCTGGAAATATTACAATAAAATATTTATATATATTAATTAATAGGAATTGTTAATGACATATCGTCGGGGATAGTGCAAAGCCGCGTAACTAAATTTTATAATTCCGCGTACCTGCTTTTGAAGCAGTCTAACAGAGGAAGTTAAAACTAAATTATTTTCTGAATTTAATGACGTTTAAAGTAATTTCTTTCACAATTATTTATTATTTAGTGTATAATTTATTATTAATTGTTAAAAGTCGTTAATTTAGAAAATATGTCAGCTTAAACTATCTTCTGGTAATCGGCTTCCAATGTATATTGGTCTTTGTTTTTCGAGAAATATGCATATTATATTTCCTTAGTTTAATATTAAACTAAAGCTAAATAATAAATATTATATACCTGTTCATATGTTTGCGGGCTTCATCTAAATTCTCATCTTTCTCCTTCAACAGATACTTCCGGGTTCCTCTTATGAAGTTGAAGTATTGTTCATCCCAACTAAAACCGGTATAAATTATGTTTATAAAAGCATTCTGAACACAAAAACCATTTAATTTAATTTATTAACTTATAAAAACGTGTTACTGAGACTATTAAAATATAATAAAAACTAAAATTACCTCAAAATTTATGTTTATAATATTTTTGTAACTACGTTGGAGGAATAATAAATATAACTTCATTAATATGAGTTTGTATTCCAAGATTCCAGTCACGTTACTTTGCGAGATCATTCTTCACCTGTCACCCGTCACCCGTCACCTGTCACCTGTCACCTGTCACCTGTCACCTGTCACCCGTCACCTGTCACCCGTCACCTGTCACCCGTCACCCGTCACCCGTCACCCGTCACCTGTCACCCGTCACCCGTCACCCGTCACCCGTCACCCGTCACCTGTCACCTGTCACCTGTCATCCGTCACCTGTCACCTGTCACCTGTCACCCGTCTCCCGTCACTACTCCACTCACTTGATGGTGTTGGGGTCCAGGTTGTATATGGCGGCGTCAGCGGGTGTCAGCCTCGCCCGCAGCCTGTCCACGTTGTCCGTATTGAACTTCCACTCCCTGAGCGCGAAGAACGCCAGCACCTCGTTCATGGCGCGCATCTTCTGTTCCGCTGTTATCAGGCTTAGTCTGTAATTAATATTTTATAGTATACTAGCTTTCCGCCCGCAGCTTCGCCCGCGTGGAGTTCGGTTATATCGCGTTTCCAAGAGAACCTTTCAAAAGTCTGGGATAAAACTGTCCTATGTTCTTTCTCAAGGTCCAAATATCATTAAAATCAGTTCTTTGGTTTAGACGTGAAAGCGTAACAGACAGACAGAGTTACTATCGCATTTATAATATTAAGTAGGGATTGTATGCTTTGTCGGGGTAGCCTAAAGTTAAAGGCTCGCATGAGGGCGCGGGTCCAAAATATGACAACTACCAATGTGATTGTTTCGAGTCATATGTACTTAGACACCACTGACTGATGAAGGAAAACATCGTGAGGAAACATGGACTTACATCAAATTATAAGTTTGAAATCACCAACCCGTCTTGAGCGAGCGTGGTGATTAATGCTCAAACCTTCTCCATGTGAGAAGAGGCTCAGCAGTGGGCTCTGATAGGCTGATGATGACTGTATGCACATATCATATAATGTAATCTTAATATCTGGTACTCACTTCATTTTAATCCCGAGTCCCCTTATGATGTATTCTGCTATATGTAAAGGTATAGTCTGCAGCAGGAACTCGAGTGCTTTGTGCGCGTATCTATAAAGAGAATAATTATTAAATATTAGCATTCTTCTCAAACTCTCTTCTGATATTATTTTTGGAACAATTTGTCCAAACAAATATTTTATATACCAGGCTATTCAACTTTGAGGAAACTTTATCTTAATAGCTCTATCAATCATTTACAAATGAAATCTTTAATGTTCTTGAGCTTGCCAGTAAAACAATCAGTTTATCAAGAAAATCGAAACAGAATCTGTTCTTCTTCTGAAACTTCTGAGTTATGTTCCTTGTACATGAAGTAAATTATATATCATATTGTTTAGCTCTCTCTCTCTCTCTCTCTCACTCATTTTCTGTCTCTTTCTCTCATCGTCTCACCTGTTCTGCACCCCGGAGCCGCACGGGTACCACAAGCAGGCGTCCAGGGGGTAATTGAGGAGGTGCTTCTTGAGAGCCATCTCGAACTGCCTCCATGTCGTGGGATTGCTGTTTGTGCTGCAGTTATACACACGGACCGACGGCAGTCTGGATATAGAAGCAAAAATACATTTAAAATACAAGAAACTATGGAGTAATAAATTTATATTACATTTAATGCGCAATAAACTTAATCATAATCCTTTGGCTAGATAAAAAGGTCGTAGAATAACACAAAATCTCCCAAAAAAGGGATATTGAAATATTTTTTGCATTTTGTTAGTCCTAGACCTATTTCTTCTTCTTTGCCCCTTCCCATTTTATGTGGAATCCGCTTGGACCTATTTAACCACTTAAATATGAATATATCTTCTTCAAATGTAATAACTCAAAATCTCTTAGACGAAACATTGGAATATATTTTTTTATCGTTAGTCCTACACCTATTAAACGACCTATATATCGGAAGTTCACGTCCTGTTTTTTCATTTTTAAATTGGGATAAAAACAAAACTAAAGAACTAATAAAAAAAGTTACTAATTAAACGTAGAAGCCCAAACAGTAAGAAAAAAATATAGGTTAGATGCTCTGGCCACGTTAACAAAACAAAAGAAAGTGTAGAGTGAGTCTATCAACAAAAACGGCAATGACCTAGTTGCCAACCCAATACATTTCTTCTTCAAATATCTTCTAAATGCTCAGTATAAGATCACAATAAGATGCCGTGTATCCTACTTACCTATCAACAGCAGTCTCCCAGGCCACGGCTAGTAGTGTATCAATAGCGATGTCCACTGGTAGCAGGTCAGCTCGAGCGTCAGGCCGTCTTACGAACACGTGAAGCAGACCCTTACCAGCGGCAGCGATCACACCGCTTGGACCGTTTAAGTTCTCAATCCATCCAGGAAATGGATGACGGAGAGACGAAATTACTGATGAAGAGAAAAATTAAAACAATAGGATATTCATTCAGATAGACATTAAAATAATAGGATATTCATTCAGATGAAAGATAGGTACGTGAAAGGTATTTATCTGATGTCTTTGGCAGCTTTTGGCAGCACAGTAATAAGCTTATGATGATAATGAGATAAGACTGGCGAGTATTCATTTAAATGAAACTAATATTTTCGGATTACTATAATTTTATACACATCTCGTTTTCGTGATGATGGTTGCTGTAAAGTACAAAGTAACCGAAAATTGGGAGTATTAGTTTTGGATTAGTAATTGGAAAACATTAGTTTCATTCTTATGATGATACTTTTCTTTGAACGTATAATGTAAAGAGTAATACGAAGGTATTGACTTATAGAGTTAGGGTAAGAATGACCCATGTCAATGGGAATTTGCAGAATTTTATAAACTTAACTGCTTTAAAACTACTAGGTATTATGTTGCTTTGACGTATTAACAATACCGCTTAAGACACTACCAGCCAACCATTAAGACCACTACTATATTATCATTAAAACTATACTTATAATGTCAGTTTAACAATATTTTATTGAGTACAAAAGTGTAGGCTTCTGTTCTCACCGATGGTAGGTCTGAATATAGCCACGGGATACTTCTGAGTACGACATCGGACCGCTTCCTCCGCCATAGCCTTGGTGAAGGTGTAGGTGTTGGGTTTAGGTTTTATGTATCTGTTGACAAATGTCCACACTTTTTACAGAAGAAAAAAGAGTCAAGAAGAGTCAAGAATTTTAAAATACAAGCTTATGATGACCAAAAAATAATAAAGAATATTTGATTGACAATAATTTATTTTACAAATATTCTTCTCGTTTCAGAAACTTTGTAAAATACAATTTTTGGGTCTCCACAAGAATATACATATATTATATGTATAATTATAATTTATGTCCGTATATAAACAGTAACTCACTCGGGTGTAATGTTAGCAAGTAGTGGCTTGGGAACAGCTTCAACCAGTGCCAGAAGACGACCCAAGTCCGCTGGTGGTGTATACACCTTCTCCTCAACACAATTCAACTCCGAGTTACTGTACGCCGTCGATACATGGACCAGGGCCTGAGGAAAAATAGATTACAGAAGAAACAATAGAAGAATAAAGCTGTCTCTGGGATGTATTTAAGAAGATTTATATCACTTCTTCACTTTTTTGCACGATGACCAAATTTTATGGACATTACTTCTAATTGTTTTCTTCTTCTACCTAGCAATTTCCCAGCTTTAGCCAGGGTCTGCTTTAGATGTGTGAATAGTTTTTGGCTAATTGTTTTTACGATCGGCCACCTGCCTGACATCAACCCTCTTTTGGGAATGCACTAATCAGTGATGTCTAAATACTCTTAGAAAGTACATATGACTCGGAAAAATCACATTGGTACTTGCCCGGGCCAGGATCGAATCCGCGCCCTCGTGTATGAGAGGCGGGCCTTTTAACCACTAGGCCACCACTGACTTGGACATTACTTCTAATTGTGTTTCCTTTTAAACCAAGTTACCTGTAAATTGGGAAGAGTGTCACAAATGTCCATGAGTCTGGTTACTGACAGAACGTTTTGGTCGACAGCGTTTGGAAGAGCTTCGTCGAATTTGAGGGTTGCAGCTGAATGAAATACTATGGACACCTGGAAAGATGTAGAAGAAAACTTGGTTTATATATATAGATTGACAAAAAAATATCATCTTATATATAAAATTCTTGTATCACAATGTTCGTTCCCGAACTCCTCCGAAACGGCTTGACCGATTCTCATGAAGTTTGGTGAGCATATTGAGTAGCTCTGAGAATCGGTCAACATCTATTTTTCATACCCCTTAGTGTAATAATAGTTGTCCACCAATAACATTTTTTACTTTAGACATTTTTTTTTAATTTCTTTATTATTTTTATTATGTCGGATTAAAAATACATACAACCCAATATTTTTAAATTTTTATCGCCAACCCTTATTTTTATATAGCAAAACAGGGTTTTAAGGGTCAGCTAGTAATAAATAAAGGCTTCTTACATCCTGCAAGTTCTTGAGATGCTCTGCATCTATAGCGAGTCCAGGTTGGGAGACATCACCAGGTATCATGCACAATTTATCCAATTGACGAGGGTTATTCTGACGTATGAGATCGAAGACCTGGAATATTGGATTTGGTATTATTTACAAGTAATAAAGATTTTTAATATAACATCGACACATGACGTTGGTGAAATTTCCAAGGAAAAGCCACTAACTATAGAAAAACAAGAAGAGTATGCATTAAATGTTTATATTTGAAGTATAAATCATATTTGTACATTTAAAATGTTATTTATTTATAACATAACTAATTTTTGCCCGCTTTTCTTCCGCGTTAATTTCAGCATTAGCATATGTATAGTTGACCGGGCGAACCATATTCCTCCTTAAAGACTTAAGATTTTGGATTTGATCAACTTATTATCTATGTCTGTCTCCTTGTTCTAATCTATCTCTCCACCAATTTCCAACCATATCCGTACAGTCGTTCTTGAGTTATAAATAGTGTAACTAATACAACTTTCTTTAAATAGATAATAATCAAGCAAGCACCGTACCTGTGAACTTTTCAATTGCTGTAATCTTTTTTCAGGAGCTACACCCTTTTTTTGTCTCAGTAGAAGGTGTAGTTTACCAACATCGGGACAAGTAGATAGCAGTCTCTCTATCAGAACCTATAAAGATAAAGATATTGAACTTCAAAGAAATGATTCAGAATAACCTTATTACAGTCAGTGAAGTGTCAGTGAATATGAAATGATATAGAGTTAGTTTTTAAATTTTTTAGAATCTTTTCGTCAATCCTGTGGTTGATTTCGAAAGTTAAATACTTGGATTTTTTAGTTTTTGTTCAAGTTAAAAGTATATAAAATATAAAATTAAATATAAATATTTTTTTAACTTTTATGTCACAATCTTGTAAAGTATGTAAGAGGTCAGCTACGAAGTGATTTTTTTTACGACAATTATTTGAAGATTTTTTCACCTTACAATTAAGACAGAAGTTCGAGACAAATTTGTTATTGTTGTTGTTATTTTCATCGTTAAATAAAATCATAAATAATGGAGATACAGTTCCGATAGTTGGGAGGCATTTACTGGAAATTTTCTCCTCTTTAAGAATCTTGTTTTGAATTTTCTTAAAAAACAATTATTTATGAAACATTACCAAAAAACAAAATGCCATTTTTTAAATCTTTAATTGTTTATAACTTTTACATTTTTAATGTCCTTATATACTTTTTTTCACATTATTTGGGCCTTATTCCAAATTCAATCATCTATTGCACATTATTTTCAGAGCAGTAACTCTATTTTGCACCATTTTCAATATACCAACTAAATATTAATAACATTTAATTCAGGCTAAAACATGGATGTATTTCATTGACGCTAACTTCCCGTTAAAACTAGGTTTAAAATAACTGTAATTTACACTTAACCGTTCAATTTAACTGTTCGGTCATTATGACCACGAGGTCGTCACTTATCAATACGTTTCCTAAAAGCAGTATCATCGTATATGGGAGCTATTATTACTTAATGGATGCATCAAGGATCATAAAACAATTATCTGAATATGGTCAGGAGTGTACCACCTTCAGTAACGAATCGTCCTTTGACTGTTAAATATTAAATACTAATGTAAAATATATAGAAAATATATTCAAATATACTTAAATATTATTAAAAAATTGTTAAAATGTTTCCAAAACTATGATATTTAGGATTTTCGAGAGTTTTATTTATTTAAATGAAACTATCATTCACATCACGTTAGGAGTATGTAGTTTTGATCAAAAATAAAGTCCGAAAAATATTAGTTTCTTTCCAAAATTATCAAAATAAATAATAAAATGAAATCTAAAAACTATAGAACGAGTGAAGTAAGAGGACATGTCTAGTTTAAAAATGAATACATTTAAACAAAATTTAATATTTTACATGTTATTCAAGGTGTTCGAACAAGGTTCGCGAACCAGAAGCGAAAATTATGTCAATGTTAATACAAAATATGCAATAAATAACACACTAATATAAATAATGAGGAAGTCTGTACGTTTGTTACAGTTTATAACTTACAACACAAAAATAAAGCTTAGAAAGCGGACATAGGCTAGTGTCAAGATAGACGTAGCAAAGGTCATTGTTTGACCTCGAGGTCACGCGAACAAGTGACCCTGACCTTTTAAAAGTCTTCAAAAGATATCAAGTTACATCATAGATAAGTTGAATCTTCACAAAAATATGAATTAAAAGAGGTCCTTAAAAAGAGGTCGATTGATAAAATTGTTGTTTTTCGCAAAAAAATAAAAACCTGTTTTTATTGTAAACAAGATCGATGCAGTTATTATTAATTTATTTAAATACTTCCGCTTGTTATATTTTATATAATTTTTTTAAAGAAACCGGAAATTTATCGCAACCATATTTATTGATTGTTTCAGACATTTTTAATGGACGCCAATTATTTTCGTGACAACTATATTTAACTGAATTCTATAACCACGTTTCCTGTCTCTACTCGTTTTTAAACCAGTATATGTTTCTGTAAAATATTCTTCTACACTCTCTTCCATGGAAATTATATTTTCTGATTTATCACAATCTATGTAATCTAACTAAAATAAAATCTGTTTGAACCAAATTTTATTCACATCAATAGAGAAAGACTTATGTTATTGAAGCCAGATTTATAAATAACGATAGTTTTTTAACATATACTATGCCGATCCCGTGACTTCGCTCACCTGAACCAAGTTATCCACAGGGTTCATCGGGTGCCATATTGTTGGTACATAATGTTCTAGAGACGAAATCCTCAAAAATTTTTGTCTTTTTTTGGATCAAAACATGAAGTTAAAAACTAAGACTATACCCTTACCACAAGTTTGTATAAGTAATAAGATTAAACTTTCGCGAGTTCATTCAAATGAAACTGATATTTTTAGGATTAATACGCGTATTTTATTATTTTGAAAACTTAAAAACGGACACATCTCGTCTTAATGATCACGGTTGCTACAAAGTAACCGAAACGTCGGGAGTATGTAGTGTATAATAATAATTATATTTATTATGTAGTGTATAATAATATTAAATACAGACAGTTACAAGTAACATTCACAAAAACTACTTACATGATAATATCAACGTAAAATATGAAAAAAACTTTTAAATCTACGTATTTCGTTTAACGATTACGACTATATTTTAGGTGATATTCTACTACTACTGCTACTGCTACTAGTCTACATTCTTGGATGTCATTAGATCTGTTATTTCTAAAAGTAAATCATTTTCCATAGATTCTTACCTTTCCCATGAATCCCGTCGCTCCAGTAATGAAGATGTCTCTGCCCGCGTAGAACCGAGGCAGCAACGCCTCACATGGAGACCTTGGTCTACCCACCATGGTTACTGGAAAAATACAACATATACAGGGTGACTGGTGAATTACTATCGATATTTGAGGACGTGATATTTGACGATCATATATGACAAAATAAAAATTAATATAACATAAATATTAATAAACTTCTAAGTAAAGTTAACCAAAAGTTATGTAATTAATTACGCATCGTATGAACACCCTACAGATTAGGTATACACTCACACACACACTCGCGCGTGCGGCGTGGTGTTGTATCAGCACGCCGCCGCACGCGTCCACACTTGGAACACTTGGAACGTGTCCGCACTTTATTTATTTATAAGGCAATTTGGTCAAAAATTAAGTACCTATTTTTTTTACATAATTCGAATGAGAATCATGTACCGAGTATGCTCCTTAAATATTGATAGTAATTCACCAGTCACCCTGTATACATCATTATCATCATCAGCCTATCAGAGCCCACTGCTGAGGCTCTTCTCACATGGAGAAGATTTGAGCATTAATCACCACGCTCGCTCAAGACGGGTTGGTGATTTCAAACTTATAATTTGATATAAGTCCATGTTTCCTCACGATGTTTTCCTTCATCAGTCAGTGATGTCTAAATACTCTTAAGTACATTTGACTCGGAACAATCACATTGGTACTTGTCATATTTCGAACCCGCGCTCGTGCATGAGAATGCACGAGAGGCGGGCCTTTTAACCACTAGGTTACCACGACTCACATATACAGTTATACAAAGAAAGAGTATTTAAACTGGTGCATAGACAGAACATAATATATTAAGACTAAACACAATAATAATTATCGTATTTTAAAGTGTTATTCTCACGACAGACTAAAAGTTAATACTTAAAAATTACTTGTATATCAAAATATATGATATTAAAATATTATAAAACGAACTAATATTACATAGATATGTGTAGAAATATATCACTCGTTAACTGTGAAGAGTTTATTAGATGTTATAAAGTTTGAGAAAAAAAAAATAGTTAAAAAAAACACGCTTTACAGCTAACCGAAATAAAAAATAGAAAATAATTTTCAATTACAAAGGTATTATTTTAATTCAGATTAAAAGCGTTGATTGAGGGATGTTTAATATTGAATGGTTCAAACATTCTCGTGGCAACTATATTTGTAGTCAAACGCAAGTTTCAAATTGATAAGACTTCTGGAAGCAGGTCAAAATCATGCACAAAAATTCAGTTACATAACCAGTTACATACAACCCAAGCTTATAAAAGCGTGAAAATAACATTGAGACACAATCAGGAATCGAATCTGCATCCTCCGGCGTATGTTCCAGTAGCTTTAACAATGAAATATTTAAAATAGATGACTTGACTCTCATGAAAATCCTCAATTATTTTTAATAAATCCGTAGTAAAGAGAAAATATTATAACACCGGCTTTATAAAATGTATTTTAACTATTAAATATCAATTAAATACTATAATTAATTTTTTATTATTAAAATCATTTGAAACAAAATATAAATATAGTAATAAAAATTAATATTGACTATTGTCAATATTCACAGTTCGTCGTTTGACTATAAATGGCTTGTCATCTGCATTTTTTAAAATTCAACTTCACCTTGATTATGCCAAATTAGAATTGGTCAAATACAATAAATTTCTATATTTTTGGAGTCCAGGCGAAAAAGACAGAGAGAAAATAATATTTCAATAATTATTTATGCCCATATAAATAATTCGGTGGCCTTATCGTGTAAAGGTCTTGTGTCTTATTCTCAAATAGTAATAATTACATTTTTTTGATTTTAAAGATCGTACAAATTTTGATATTAGTAGTGTTTACTACATGTTTGCATCTTACTAAATACGCAGCGTCAACAGTATATTACACATCTACATATTTTAAGTATCTCCGTAAAACAAAGATTGAGTCTTTATTACATTAGTAAGATTATTAGTAAATAAAATTAAAACCGCGGTAATTATATGAAATTAATTAAAAAAATATACTCTACATCATAGGGAGCGTTCAAGTATTACGTAACGCAATTTTCGAAGATTTTTGACCCCCCCTTCCCCCGTCGTAACGCACAGTAACGTTTTTCTGTAGCCCCCCCCCCCCCCCTTCTCAAAACGTTACGTAACACTCAAGTGATCAATTTCATCAAAAGACTTACAATGCAATCTAGGTATTTTTTTAGAAACAATGCTACGTAACGTTTTGTAAGAGACACCAACTCCCGCCCCTGTAACGCATCGTAACGTTTTACGAGACCCCCCCCTCCCCCAAAATTGCGTTACGTAATACTTGAACGCTCCCATATCCTGATATCTGACTTATATTCCTGTAAATTTTTCGTCTCGAACTGTAATAATTTCAAGCGGGCAAAGTCGCGTGCAAAACTATATCTAGATTTTTAACACGTATATTGAAAGTAATATCGAAAATAGCAATAAATTTAAAATACGATGAAACGTCTCGTAAAAGGACTATAAAATATTTATGATTATTACTTTATTATAACATTATACACGGACAGGACACGTTCTTAACTTAGAATTAATGAGTGTATTAAATTAAAATTAATTTAAGATTCCGCGCGAAATTAACGAGGGCGAGAGAACGACAGTAAATATCAATTAAAATAAAAACATACAAATAACATTAACATTTTAATGAGGACATAACTTAATTAACATTCAAAATTAATTTGATAATTATTATTATTGTCATGGAAATAAATATATCGGTAACCTTGTTAAAGACACTTGGTTTGGAGATATCAACATTAGGGACAAATAACGTCGGTAGATGGCGTTTATAGTAAATAAATTTTCGATAAAAATTGTTGCAAAAAATACAATGAAATCATTGTAAAATATGATAATAAACTGTATTAATAATATAGAATAACGCAAAACACAAATTATAATATTGATGGAATGATAGTTACTTTGAAAAATAGTAGTAACTTTAAATAAGTTGTAATAAAAAGTGAATTTGCTTTCCTTCTGGCTACTCAGTACTCAGTTCTTTGTAACAATAGTAACAGTGGGCATCGTCTGAGCGTGTGTCGCAATCACATTATTATTATTCTAAATGTATTTTGCTAATATTTCGCCACGGAGCTGTTTTATCATTTATTTTAGACGCGACTTCACCTTGACTCGCTTTGATGGTTGGGAATTAATTCATTTCAATTAAACATGTGGAGTAGAAAGTGTGTAGATAACACATTGTGTTTAAACGAGATAGTCAAAATAATAACTGAATTATTGTTTTAGTCTTTTTTGACTTTATTTATATAAAGAAATCAAATATTATTATAATATAATTATTGAGAAATCACATATAGATAATTTGTTATGAAAATAATACTTCATCTTTATTTATTGATTAAGTCAAAAATTCTTTGATCTTATTTTAATAGCTCAAAACAAAATAACATTTGTATAATTATAATTACTTTTACATATAAATTAATGTGTTTTTATCTTTTTAGACATCCCTAGTTTCTTCTGAGTGCTTATATTCCTGAAAATGTATCTGTAACTTAAATAAACTTCAAGCGTTTCTAAACAATATTTTCTTTATAAATAAAGTAAACAAAAAACCAAATAATCTTTAATCTTTCGTGAGTTCCTCAATGTATGTTTACTATAAGTTTTCCCTCACACTACATACGTAGAGTTAATAGTTTTTCGATCATAAATCTTCTCATATTACGGGCTATCCATAAAGTCACTCGTTAATGGATGGAGGGTGTTACTGAAGTGTGACATGGTGTGATAAGAGGGGAAAGGGGGGGAAATAGTTGTGTGACGTCATACAATAAATTATAAAGTACTAAATGTACTTCGGATACTTAATAAATATACTAAGTAAAATATTAAAATAGCTATTTTCTCTCTATTATTTTTGAATACATAAATAAATTTAGAAAATCTATGACGTAACATAAGAAAGGGGGGGTTATAAAAATTTTACAAGTGAGGGTTTGAAACGTACGTAAAATTTTGAGACGTACTTTATGAATGGCGCTTACGCAGTAACTATCGGTATGGCGTATTCTGTGAGGGAGACATGTGGTAAGCGTACTTTTCTCTATCGTATGCAAAACTCACAACTATCTCTTCTGTGAATCCTAAAGATTTAGTCGCGAGGAATATTAACAAGTCAGTTTTTCCTCATCACTCAAGCTTTGGATTTAGGAATCCGTGTTGGAAATACCGGCTTTTATTTATTTTGAGTCAATAACAAAAGATTCTTCTTCTACCTGGCAATTTCCCAGCTTTAGCCAGGATCTGCTTTACATGTTGTGAATAGTTTTGGCTAATTGTTTTTACGACCGGCTGCCTGCCTGGCATAAATTCTCTTTGGGAATTCATTAATCAGTGATGTCTAAATGCTCTTAGAAAGTACATATTTCTCGGAAAAATCACATTGGTACTTGCTAGGATCGAACCCGCGCCCCCGTGTATGAGAGGCGGGCCTTTTAATCACTAGGCCACTACTGACTCAATAACAAAAAAAATATACTTGTGTATTGTTATAACACATTACGTATAACTGAGTTTTATTATGAAACTAACTCAGACAGAGTCACGAGTTTAAACTAGTATATGTATTATTGATGGTAAATATGTATTTAGTAGTTTTTGCTTCTTACTCTAACGTTTCCGTGTAGAAGCTTGTACATATTTATTTACAATGAGTATGACAATACTGAATCAATATTGATGGAGTTTTAACAATTTTTAAATAACTATACAAGTCTGACCTGCGGAAATGTCTGTATTTTAAAATTTGAGAGCCGAATGTATATGTATATGGCTCGGTCCCAGTTGAAAGACAAAAATAACGTCTCATTTTAATATATATTTTGTAATCATTTTACCAAGAAGAAATTCTTTTGTTCAAAGAAAGGTCATTCGCTGTCTTAAAACATGAATTTATATTAAATTTAAATAATTTTAAGTACAAACTTTTATGACATTTTATTTGTTAATAATAACCACAAATTTAATTAC